GGGGGGGGGGCATTTTTGCTCTCAGGAGGCTTTCCTGAGGCCCAGGAAGGCAAAAAATAGAGTGCGGGGGGCGCACAGTACCCGCCCCTGCATGCCCCTTTTTGCCTTCTGGGCCTCAGGGAAGCCTCCTGGGTGAAGCAGTAAGACAGCGAGGGGGATGCCAGCACAGCTGATCGTTGGAACAGCTGATTGTCGGGAGGAAAAAAAAAGAAATACCGGTTCAGTCAAACTGGGCGGAACCGGTAGAATCCCACCACTGATTTTGTGATCATATTCATCTCAGGTCCTCAGATTTCCAAATGTGCTCAAACTAGTTGGGGATTGCAACAAAGTACCTGTCCGAGCAGGAGTGCCTGGAGGGCCAGGAGGGCCTTGAAAGCCAGGGTTTCCATATGTGCCAAGGTCACCTGTAGGACCACGATATCCCTTTGGACCGGGCAAACTCACACCAGGCAGACCAGTTTCACCAGGAAAACCTTTTGGGCCTGGCTGGCCTGCACTACCAGGATCCCCTTGTCCTCCTCTTATGCCATCACCCTGCAAAGAAATTTAAAATATTGTAAGCAAGCTAAGCTGTTTCAGCACTAAATCACTTTCTTAACTTTCTTAGTTACCTTTTTATTGAGTTACCCAAGTTCTATAAACAGGTAACTCCTGTACTCAGCAATTACTTACAGAATATACAGTATATCTCCATATCTCCAGTTGGCTTCAGGGAGGAAATGTGGATAACAAAGGAAAAACTCCAAATAGTAAAACTGCTAAGATTATTTGATCGACGAATAACTTAGAATCAAAATAGCATAGAAAGCAGTTGTAAAATTATTGTTAGCAGAACATTTATTGCAAGTGACTTAATCGATGAAATCTCTCTGTCCGTGTAGTGCAAATAACTAGCAGCATTTTTCAATTATATTCATCATCTCCTTTTTATGGCCCCATAATCCCTTGCGGGATGGAGTCTGGGCAACTGAATGGAGCAGTGTTTACTGGCCAGATGCCCCTCCTGTCACCAATGCGGATTTTTGTTCATCAGATACATTCTCATTGTGCCCGCAGAAAAATACCTGCCTCTACCTAGGATCAAACTCACAGCCTCCTGATTGTGAGTCAAGAGCTCCACCTCTAGGCCACCGTACCATTCTCAACTATATTTTTCAACTATATTGAACCCATAAAATGTCCAAATTGTCACATTCACACTGTGTGAGTCTATTAGTCACTGTTGGGGGGTAATTTTTAAAATTTGCACATTATGAATAAGGCAGGCTGTTCCAACCAAATTTTTAGAACAAAGTTCTATTCCAATTGAAGCTTCTTAGTTTCCTCAAGGATAACTAAAAATTCCCACCTGATTTCAAACTATTCCCATCCAGGATTGCTACAGCTTCTAAAGTGTAAAAACAGTAAAAGCAATAAACCAATAGTTGACCAGACTAGCTCAGGATGAATATTAAATCCCCAAGAACCACTGTGTCATGCCCCTGGTGGAGTCTGACTCTGAGGAAGAGGAGGAACAGCCAACAGGGAGTGGGAGTGTGGCTCCAGAGGTGGTGGAGGAGGCTGGGGAAGGGCAGAGGCCGGCTGAGCAGTCAGAGGAGGATCCAGGCCCATCCCCTATCCATCCTAGGTCACACAGGGAGGAGAGGATCAGGGAAACGCAAGGTCTACTCAAGAGGAGATTACCATGATCCTCCTCGTGGCTTGCAGGTGGGAGCTATGTATATAAGTTTGCAACTGCGCAGTTAGAATTGCTGAAGTCAATTAGTGTTCACCTTGAAAGAGGCTTATCTTTGCTGGCGTTCTTCCCATGGACTTTTCTCGGCTATTTTCCTAGAGTTTATAATTAGTTATCTCGGCTTGCTTCAGAACTCTCATCAATATGGTTTGTTTTGGTTTTCTGTTTGCCTCCTTATTTACTTTTGTGACTTTAAACTGTGCCTAATAAAACAGTGAAATTAAGTTGAAGGCTTTACCGGACTTTAATATATGTTTTGGGTTATTTTGAGAGACTACGAGTCATCACACACTGCCTTTGCCCTGCCAGGGTTCTGTTTCAGATTACTGGCCTGTCTTGTCCATTAATGAGTCCAACTCAGCAACTTCAAGACTTGACCTGATTTCAACCATTAGCAGAAGTCAAGTGGAAGGAAGGACATCAACGTGATAAATCTCCCATTAGGACCTTGAGGGTTGAGGCTGAATGCCCAACTTACCCGAAGACCAGGAAACCCTGGTAAACCATCTATGCCATTCCTGCCTGGTGAACCATCTTCTCCTTGACTTCCAGGAATTCCTGGAGTTCCTGGCTCTCCTTTGGCACCTTGAAAACATGGTTTTATGGAGATGTAGCAAAAGAAGTCAATATATACATAACGTTGTTTACTTTATATATTAAAAACGTATCTGTTTGTTACCTTTTATGGTAACATACTGGGAATCCCCCTTTATCCCCTTTGGTCCAGATGGTCCAGGTTCACCAGGTAACCCCTATTGATGGATATTAAGAAAATTTAATTAATCACTCTAAAAACATACTGGAAAAGTGTAAGAAAAAAATTATGTGGTTTTTTTTTGTGAGAACAAAATGCACCAAAGGTTCAAAACAAAAGGAAAAAGAAGTCATATAATTTCTCCCAATTAATGCAGGCTTGCAAGCATGTGTGTAGTATTCTGTTGCAAAGAGAGGATTTCAAGAAAGTATTAAATTTGTGCAAAGTTTAGAATAGGCTGGATTTTACACTGAAAAGAGGATGAATTAGTCTCATTTCACAACTGAATCTGGTATTTCTGATTTTTTTCTCATATAAAAGATTCATAGCACATTTTGTATAAATCTAAAGAATTAACGGAACTTCTACAGGGGAAACAATGCTTTCAAGTAGAGATCTACATATGGAACCCCGTTGCTGCAAATAATGTAAGCCCCTATATGAAGAACTTCACTTTTGAAAATATTTATGGCATAAATATAGATAATAAATTGGGAAAATATTATATAATATTTTGTTCTCTAAAATATACAATATTCTATTACAAAAATATCATACCTTTCCACCAGTAAAGCCTGGAAGTCCATGGTAGCCTTGATCTCCTAATTCCCCTTTTCTCCCAACATATCCTATTGGACCTTGGAATCCTGGAGGACCAGGTTGTCCTGCAGGACCCCTTCTTCCTTCGATCTGTTCAACACATTTGCAATCTCCTGTATCACCTACAAAGATATATAGATATTTGTGGGTTTGTGTTTGTGTATGCTTAATATTGAAACATTTATCTGCAATCATGGGTTTTAGCAAAGTTCATATAAAATTACAGCTATCCATATCAGTTCAATACATCCCTTCATAGATACAGATATTGTGCTAGTAAAGCAGAGCTACTGTATGTAAGTTTAAAAACTGATAGGACTACTAAGTGGAAGTATAGAGATACTGAAAATTCTGCAGCCTTAATTTGGTAATCTAAACATTATGACAGATCTCAGAGAAGAGCCAAATGGAGTGCCTAATTCATCCTGCTGACTGAAATCCCTGATCCATAGTAGTCGTATTCAACAATTTCATAGCACTATGCATCTTTACCTAAAGGTGTTGTACTGAATTCCTTGGGGTTGACTTTTAATTCTGCATAGTATTGAAGCATCCACTTTTACACACTTGGGAATCTTATGGCAACTTAAGCCTGTCTAAGTTGACTAGAATGAGAAAAACGTTGATTTTTCAGCCAAGAGGGTTTCCTTTTCAGATCCATAGGGCCCCCTCCAAATAATTTGCTGGAATTTGATGTTGAGGTTTCCTTATATGTATATTTATCTGTAATGTGCAGAGTCCAGCTATTTATTTATGCACAATCACACATCTTGCTTAAATTCATCTAGATAAATTGTTGCTGGCTCCCTTTAGTAATTGAAATGATTTAGTATATTTAGAAAGCACTTCAAAGCTTTACAGCTTGCATAAACCAAGTGATCTGACATTTGTCTTAACAACTTTTGTTTGAGCCCGAAAAGAAGTGAAGTTAATCAAACCTTTAAAGTAGCTGCATTCATTTCCGAACCATGCACAGCCCTATATTTAGCCTTATTATTTATTTACAGCATTTACTTATAAAATGATTATTAGGGAGCTTATAAACAATACGATTACACATATCATAAAAGATTAAAGGTAGTCCTCAATTTATGGCTATTTAACAATGGTTCAAAGTTATGACAAAGCTGAAAAAGTGGCTTAAGGCCAGCCATCAAAGTTATGACTGTTACATCAAATCCCCAACCCCCCCCCCCCCAGTCATGGGACCATGGTTTGGGACCTTGGGAACTGACTCACATTTACAATGGTTGCAGTGTCCTGTGGTCATGTGATTGCAATTTGTAAACCTTCTCAGCTTCTGACAAGCAAAACCAATGGAGGAAGCCAGATTCACTTAATGACCATTTGATTCACTTAACAACTACATTAACATTAATCATAAAATCAGTGTCAGATCCTTATCGTGATATTGCCATTCCTATGGGGAGGGGGCCTGAATGCATTGATTAGCTTATTGTCTTCTTCCTGGTTCCTACTCATCCTATAACCTCTTAGTTTATAAATCTAACTCTGACACCTATCTGCTCTGTGCTTTGATTTACCTTTGGGGAATGTTTAAGGGGGGAGGGCCATCTGTTTTATCTCAGTTCTGAAGCTTCTGGAGAGAAGTGCCTGGGAACAATCCCTTATCTCCTTCCCAGGATTACCTTCTTCACAACATCTTCACACCTGTGGATTGGCTCATTCAACATCGGACTTAGGGGAGGGGTTTCTAACTCCTTTATCCTGGCAGAATTGCCTAAGGGGACCTTAGAGCCTGCTTTGCTTTTGTCTTGCAATCACTCCCTTTCAATAAAAGGATCCTTTTTTTTTTTGAACAAATTTTATTAATTTTTAAAGACATACAAAACATGAGACATAAGAACATAAAACCTCTTTTCTGAAAGTTATTTGCAAATTTTAACAAAACTAATAAAACATTTTATACACCATTGTGCCAATCTCCTTATAAACACATACATATCCTTTCAAGTTTCTCATTATTTCTCCCTTTACTTTTATTCAATTATATTTCTTTTCTATATTTATCTATTTTATATGTTTTTATTCACTATACCTATTTTCCCTTCTGACTTGCTTTATTCTCTTCTATCTTTTATTCTCAATTGTCCTCTTCTAACATTCCTCCAAGGTTTTATTAGCTCAATCAAACATAAACACACAAAAACACAAAACATAAAAACATAAAAAACATCTTTTCTGAAAGTTGCTTAGTCCCGGGTTACAACTCTTCGTACAGACACAAATTCAAATTCATATTCATTTTGTATACCATTCCATATCTTATTACCATTTTCAATTTTCTATATAGCTTCTCATCTCTTTTAAATTTTCTTAGTTTTATTTTATTTATCTCATCTCAATTCAAATCATAATATTTATTATCCTTTGTCTGTTCTGTTTTATCCATTTATCTTTCTTCTTTAAACAAAACTTCTCCTGTACACTAATTGGAGTATGACACCTTTGTCTCTTTCCCCTACATTCCCCTACTTCCGGTTTGCAAGGCTTCAGCAGCGGCAGGGATTCGCAATACTGCGCGATCCCTCCTGCGCTCGCTGCCAAGGTTCCTCCGATCCGCTTGGATTTGGGGGATATAGCTGCCCCGTAGAGGCAGCTGAAGATAGGGGGGATCCGGATAGGGGTTTGGGGGTGTCGCAGACCCCCTCCCCGGCCGGCAAAACCCCCTTTTCCCAAGGTGGAGGAGCGGTGGTCAGTAATGGCCGCCACAAAGAAACCTGCAGCCGGACAAGATTGTGCAGGAGGAAGAAAGTCGGAAGAGCTGTGAAAGTGGTTTTTGACCGGGATAAAGTAAGAGAAAGTAACCTGGAATTTGAAAGCTGCCAAAGATAAATTGTTTGCAGAGAGAGTTACAAGCGGCGAATGGAATTCTAAAAGGGAAAGTTTTTTTCTTTTCTTTCTTTTCACTCTCCTTCCTAACGTGACAGCGGATGGAACTATAAGAGAAATCGGAAAACCTGCATTGGAGGTAATTAAATGCTGAAGTGATAAGGATTTCTGAACATTTTTTTTTAAAAAGAACCTTTTTGCTGTGAGTGGGAAGGGAGAGGGAAAAATAAATTGGAGCAGAACTTGAAAATAAGGAGAAGATTGCCTAGAATTTTAAAGAGTTATTAAACATCAATAAGACTTCTAAAAGATATATTTTAAATGAAACTTTGTGACTAAACATTAACCCCAGAAAGAGAAAGTGAAGAAGGAGAAAGTACTTAAAAGAAACAGCTTATTTGGATTACTTGGTGATTTTGGAGCTTCTGAACTATCTTTGATTAAAAGCACTTGGGTGGTTGTTTGGAAAAACCTTTTCTCTCTATAATGGCATCACTTGTGGATGGATTGAAACTTGAATACCAAAAATATAAAAAGGAAGAGCAAGAAGGGAAGGATTCTTTTGGCACTCTTTTTCAATTTTTAGAAATGGCGGTTTGTACTTATGAAAAGCTGACTGCGCAACAGGATGACTGGGATAAAGAAGAAGCCATTTTTGATGAACAAGTGACTTTAGCTGGGGAAGAAAAGGAGAAAGAGAAAAAGGAAAAGGGGACTTTAAGATTTGGAAAAACAACCAAAAAAGAGAAGAATAAGGTGAAAAGTGGATACTATGTTAGAAAACAACAGAAAGGAGGAAAGCAGAACAAAAGGGAGGTGGAGAGACACAGGGGTAAAGAGGGCAAGGAGAATAAGCAAGGGAGAACGAGAAGCCTCAATGGTGGGGAGCAAGATGCAAAGAACCAAAAGTCTTTTAGAGATAATGGGTAAACCTTATTGAAAAAGGGATTCTGGAAAGGTACATAAGATTGTATTTTTATATTTGTACTTAGAAATAATCTTAGAAAATTGGAAACAATAAGTAATTTAAAATCTGATAAAATGTTTAGTAAATAAATGGGAGAATTGTAGTAGGAGAAGGGGGAACATTTTAACGAAACAATGATATAAAATATGTGATGTGTGTGTGTGGGGGGAAATAACTATGGAAAGCATGAGTGTTCCCATAAAGGCATGATATTTAATTGAAATGGGTAAAATGTTTAAGAATATTAATATTAATGATTAGATGGTGTTATCCCAGTGAAATTTTTTGTGAAATGAGAGATTTGAAGTAGGAGAAGGGGGAACATTCTAATGAAATAATGATTTAAAATATGTGATGTGGGGGGGAAATAACTATGGAAAATTGGTGTTCCCATAAAAGTATAATATTTAATTGAAAAGTAATGTGTTAAGTGTCTAAGATATAAATTAATATTAATATTAATGAATAGATTTGTATTGGCATTGATAATATTGTATAATTTTAGAATGTACCAAACAGAATCCCAATGTAAGTTATGTATTTTATATTAAGTATAATAAAAGGATCCTTTTGAAATGCTGCTGTTTCAAGAGTCCATGCTTTCTTGATTTGGGGAGTAGAGACAGGAGCTTACAATCAGGTCTGGTCACATGATGACTTGTTTAACATCTGCATCATTTATCAATCATAATTCCAGAACCAATTGTGGTTGAAAGTCAAGGACTACCTGTATTTGTGAAACAACCAATTGTAGCCTACATTACAATGGATCTAGCTGCACAAACTTTCTTCCTTTGTGTTCCAGCCATCTTCAGATTATTTTCATTGATCTTAACTCAGATTAATACAAAGGAGTCACATTAGCTATGATCAGTGAGAGAAAGTAATCAACCTGAAAATTTCCAGTTCTCATCAGATTTCATTGATGTTAGGAATATAAGTCACCTAACAGTTATTTGGGTTGGAAATATATAAACCAGGATAGACATTTTAATACTATGTCTTTAAGAGAATGCAAAAACTGCAATTGGGTGTGGTTCTACAAATGGCCATAAGATGGAGCCAGAAACCTGGGTTGTTTTAGTCTCAGAAGTCTTAGAAGAGAGTGTGAGTGAGACTCTGTTTCTTCTGTTGGAGAGTATTGCCGTTCCTCCATTTTTCCCTATTGACTGTTATTCTTGGATTTGACGTAAGTCTGTTACTGAACTGTTTATGATACTGGACTTTGATATTTGAATTATCCATAGACTGAACACTGACTGCTTTAACTGTGAACTGACTTTGCTTAAACGTTTATTGAAAAGTAAAAACCTACATTTACCATACAGCGTATCTGTGTGCTGTGTGTGTATTATTCAAACACGTCTCTCACTACGTCTCCCTGTTTCTGCTCATTCTCCTAACGGGGAATTACCTCAACAATTGATTTCCATAGAAGATGAATAATTTTAATGTGTTCTCTCTTATAATCTTAAACCTTAACAAGTTGATTTGATCATGATAAGGAAGCAAATAAAATGCCTCACTTTTCCAAGGCAATGAGATGGAATTGTATGTTCTATAAAATAGAATTTTCACAGATCTTTCTATCAAAATGATGTGATGAGGCAAAGCAAAATGCCCCCATTTTTCTGCTTTCAGTTGCGAGTGTCAAGGTTGAGTGCTTTTTCTCTCTCTTCATGTTAAAGTGTTTTCATCCTTACTTCCAATGGAACATCAACATCCAGTGAAGGAATGGAGGATTTTAGAAGTAAACCATTGGCTTAAAAAATGGTGCCATTGAAAGAACTTTGGATTCCTAGACCACAATCCAAAATAAGGGACTTCTGGAAAATGAGGGGCTGCACCTCACAAGAACTAGGAAGAATGTGTTTGGAAAACAACTGGCTTGGCTTATCTGAAGGGGTTTAAACTAAAACTGGAAGGGAAGGAAGACCATTTTTATGGTAGGATCCAATCCCAAACATAAACCTAAGACAACCAATTAAACATTGAGGTGGTGAGTGGTGAGAAGGAAGAGGAACTCAAATATAAACAGGGGATGTAGGAAACAAGTGGAGAGTCAGCAAAAAGGGACTCAAGATTCCTATATACTAATGCTCAAAGTATGGGGAAGAAACAAGGTGAACTTGAAGTCTTAGTACAGGAGGGCAAGTACAATATTGTTGCCATTATTGAAATTTGATGGGATGGAACCTATGACTTAAATGTAGAAGGATATAGATTGTTCAAAGGAAACAGACCCAACAAAATAAGTTGGAGGGAGCTGCAGTATATGTAAGAAATCACTACCCCTTTAAAGAAATGCACAATACCAATGATGAAAGACTTCTTGAATGCTTTTGGGTTAATATAAAAGGGAAGAAATGACATTACCATAGGTGTATACTACAGGCCATCCAAACAAAGCACAGGAATGAACTTTTTGCTAATCAATGAGCTAATCAATGCAGGAAACACGCCACAATAGCAATAGGGGACTTTAACTACCCTGATATCAACTTAGAGGCAAACTTTGCAACTAGTGGGAGATCAAACAGGTTCCTGATGTGCCTAGCTGACAACTTTGTCATTCAAAAGGTAGGAGAGAGAACTAGAGGATCAGCTATACTTAATTCTTACTAACAGGGAGAAAAAGATAGAGGAGGTTGAAGTTGCAGGATTTTGAGGGATAGTGAAAAATAGCCCAACCTATCAAAAGCAGCACCTCTAGGAAACAGAACAAGAAGGCAAGTCAAACTAGGTAAGAAAATAGTAAGAAAACATCTATCCACTCTAGATTAGTCCAAATTGCTATGACCCGATGGCTTTAAACCTAGGATTCTGAAGGAGATGATTTGTGATTTCAGAACTACTGAACAAAATATTTCATTGCTCCTGGAGCATAGGGGAACTACCGGAGCACTGGAAAAGAGCTGATAGGGTTTCAAACTTCAAAAAGGGGGAAAAGTGGATCCAGCAAACTACAGAACAATCAGCCTGACATCAATACTGGAAAAATCCTGGGAAAGATCATTAAGCAGCAGATTTATGAGCACCTAGAAACAAGCAAGGCAATTACTGGAAGCCAGCATAGTTTACTTAAAATCAGATCATGGCAAACAAACCTTATTGCCTTCTTTGACTAAATTATTTGGATATGAGAAATGCTGTGGACATATTTACTTAGACATCAGAAAGGCATTTGACAAAGTAGACCACAGCCTACTGCTTGGTAAGATAGAACAGTGAAGGATAGATAGTACCACCACCAGATGGATTTGCGATTGGCTGACCAACTGCACTCACCATGTAGTCCTCAATGTAACTACATCTACATGGAGGGAAGCATGCTTTCAGAATGGGATGACTCACAGCAGTCAGGTGGACCTGACTGGGTGGGCACAACCATCTGAGCATCGCCAGATGGGCATGGGGCAGCCAAATCAGCACAGAGGACTTGGTATAGCTGGGTGGGCATGGCCAGGTGGATGCAACCACATGGGTGTGGCTGGGTGGGTGCCACCAGGTGGGTGTGGCCAGGTAGGTGCAGAACAAATCACCTTGGGCAACTGGACGTAGAGCCAACTCAGCACCCCACCAGGAGAAAAATCACTTGAAGTTGTGCTGGCAAACAGGAAGTGGGGAAGCGGCAAAATTTGAAAGGCAAGGCTGTGGATTTACCCCTCCCCACTTGCAGAAACGCTCCTTTTTTCTTTCTCCTTTATGATGAGAGGTCCCTGCAAAGTTTGAAAGGGAAGGGAAGGGAAAGGCTGGGTGGATTCCCCCCTCCACTTGCAGAAACACTCCCCTGAAACTCCCTCCTCCTCTCCAGAGATCTGTCAAGGCAGAAGTTGGATGTGGAGAAAACTGCTTCCTTCAAACTTTCTCCTCCACGTGATGAGTAAGCAGCATTGAGCCAACTTCACCCACCCAGCCATGCTCACTGTGAGTCATCATAGACCTGCATGCACAGTGGGGTACCTCAAGATTTTGTCTCAAGGGTCCGTACTTTTCAACATTTTTAGAAATGATCCAGACGAGGGGATAGAAACTCATCAGATTTGCAAATGACACCAGGCTGGGGGGAATTGCTAACACTTTGGAAAATAAACTCAAGATTCAGAAGGATTTTGATAGACGAACAATAGGATCTAGTCAAGAAAAATGCAATTCAATGGTGAGAAAAGTAAAGTCCTACACTTAGGCAAGAAATACCAAATGCAAGAGACGGTACCTGGTGCAACAGCTGTAATTATGAGAAGGGCCTAGGTATCTTCATGGACAACCATTTAAGAGTGAGCCAGCAATGTGCTGCAGCTGCAAAAAAAGCCAACGCAATAATAGGCTGCATCAATAGAGGGATACTATCAAGATCATGAGAAGTGACAGTGCCACTTTAAACTGCACTAGTGAGACCACTTTTGCAATATTGCATCCAGTTTGGGTCACCCATGTTACAATAAGGATGCTGAGACTCCAGAAAGAATGCAGAGAAAAAAAACAACAAAAATCTTAAAGAATCTGGAGGCTAAACTATATGATGAAAGGTTGAGGGAACTAGGTATGTCTAGCCTAATACAGAGAAGGATTGGGGGTGGTAGCAACCTTCATATATTTGAGGGACTGTCATAGAGAAGAAGAGGCCAATGTATTCTCCAAAGTACCTGAGGGAAAGACAAGAAGTAATGAATGGAAGAACATTTAAGAGAGTTCCAACTTAGAACGAAGGAAAAATTTCCTGACAATGAAAGCAGTTAATCAGTGGAATCATGCAGAAGTTGTGGATATGGTTTTCAAGAAGAGATTGAACAACTATTTGTCTGGAATGGTATAAAGTCTCCTGTTCAAGCAGGAGATTGGTTTAGATTAGAAGACCTCCAAGATCCTTTCCAACCTTCTTATTTTATGTTATATCTTGGAGCAACTAGAGTTGAGATGGTTACTTGCTGGATTAGCAGCATTTTACATAAATAATAAACTAATCCACCTATCCCCAAAGGAAAGGAAAGAATAAAAATGACCATATAGTTAAAAGCTAATAGATAAGACTGAGATTTTTTTTTAAAAAGCACTTGCAAGATAAGTTTTCTCGTAAGAGAAATCCTGAAAGTAGAGAACTAAACAGGAGGAAAAGCATTTTAGACTATATCCCATTATCCAATGCATGTTAGATATGGGCTAGATTGAAGAGGCAGGACAGCGGGGAGAGGGAAAAGATCTCTTTATTCAGCTCCGAGTAAAAGACTGCCGGCTTATGTGCCTGCTGTTCTTTTTACAGGCTGCTGTCCACAACTTTAGCCACTGATGGTTGTTCATTTTCCCGCCTAGAAAATGAACCAATGGGGGAAGTCTGACATCACTGACTTTTCCCCACTGAATATCTAACAATGCACATGAAGTATGTTCTCTGCATGAAAATCTGTGGTGACAATAGCTCAATATAGTTCAGTATTTTAAACTTTACCTTTCAGTCCTTTTTGTCCTTGTGGGCCTGGATAACCTTGCTGGCCTGCAGGACCTGGAACTCCTGGATATCCCTTCAGCCCAACGGAATAACCTGTCGAACAGGGAGACTGCAGTGACTTGGGGAGACTGACATGGTTATGCGGTTCTGTACCAGCATTAACGGGTTAGCTTGTCTGTGCTAAGACTTAAGAAAAAGTCTGAAATCAAAATGCATGAGATAACATTAATATTAGTTTTTGAGAGATTTACATCCTTCTTTCTTTTGATCAGCTCAAAATATTCATATATGAGTATAATAGCACTGTTGTTGTTTTTCCCCACTTCTTTCAGACAGCAGGCAGCAGCATAATTTTTTTTAATAGTATTTGCTTCATTTACTTAAACAGGTGAAGACCGAGTCTTTATAACATGCTGTTAAACAGTAATGTTATTTGTCTGGTTTGACTTAGTATATTACACACTACTGTAATTTGTAAACCATGGTTAATAATATACACAATTGTGTGAAAGTAGCCTGGCGTTCTTTATTCAATACATCCTCATTAAACAAATGTTATATTAGTAGATCAGGGAGGAAGCTTTTTAACAATTTTCATTTGCATGGCATATCAAGCCAAGCTGTAGTTTGGTTAACACTGTTATCCAACCTGCACTTTGAATCAGATTGTGATTAAAGAGGAACAGGTTAACTACAAATTGTTACCACTGTTGAAACTTTGCTTATTTTAACTGAAGACGTGGCATATTATCAGGAGCCAAACAATGGCTATCGTACAATTAATCTCATACATGCAGACATTGCATAATGTAATCTCTAATGCTCGTCTCTCTCTCTTTCTCTCCCTCCCTCCTTCCCTATGACAATGGATTTTAAATTAAAAAAATATCCCAGTAAAGAAGCAGTAGAAGAAGAGAATGATAGAAAAGAAAAAGAGAGGCAGATTTCACAGAATAAAATTATTGATAATAATAGGTTATTGTGGTCTTAATTAAATGAGACTAAGATATAAAGCAAGGCATTATTTCACAAATAAACAGCTGGTTTAGTATTTGTTTTTATTTACCTGAATTTTCAAACTTCCCTTGGTTGTTCAATTTCAAAATGCCTGATTAAGGAAATTTCTCAAAGCATTATTTTCTAAATATTTAAAAACCAGTATATAAACGTATATTCGATTTACCTGGACTTCCTGGGGGGCCAGGGGGGCCAGGAAAGCCAGGTGTTCCAGGTTCACCATCTAAACCGGGAGGACCAGGACGATTAGCTGGGAAACCAGGATCGCCAATAAAACCTTTGGGGCCCATTTCTCCAGGAAAGCCTCTTCTCTCAGAAACACCTGGAATGTGGAAGGAAGTGGCTCTGCATGACTTTCAGAAGGCCATAGATGAACAAAATACAAATGAAAAGCAAACTAGTACAGAAGCTCTCATTATTAAAATGAACAAAAAAACTCCAAATCAGTTATCATATTTATAAGAAGAAAAAGAAAACAAAATAGAATAAAAACACAGCCCCAGATCACGATTAAGTCCTGCTGAAACAGAACAGTTCCGGTATGTTCCCAAATACACTTTCTGATGGCAGCATATTTGCTAATGCAGTATTTGATAATGTGAGGGCCACAACCCAAAATACTTCTTTCCTGATCTTTCCACCCCTTGACTTCTTATGTAGGTTGGAATCTGAGCCTCCCTTGATGCCTGGACATAATGGACAGCATTGTTCCAGACAAAGTGATCCCTAACACATCCCAGTGCAATGCTATGTAAGAGTTTAACTATTTGACTTGGCTTTAGAGGCTTATTGACAACCAAAGTAATGACTGCAAAGCAGATACTATTCTACAATAGTGGGTCTCCCTGACAAGTAGTTTTCTACCACATCTTAAACTAGTTGAATCATTCTAAAGATGGCCTCAAATAAAGTTCATTGTAGTACTGTAGTCCAGTGGTGAGGTTCTGAGGTAATAAAAGTAAAATGAACTTCATGATCCAGGTAGAGCAGCAACTGTCACTCCTTCTGAAGCCGGACATGGACTCCACTGGCTATAGCGTCCATCTGCTGCTGAAGCAGGAGCCACAAGCCCAGGAAGATGCTCAAGCTACAGACCAACTCCTTCAGAGTTAGATGACCCCATCGAGTCTCCTACTGTGGCTGATGTAATCTGATGCGATCAAATTTAACAAATGTATAGGAGCTTAATCTGAAGTTTCTCTCCCTATTCAGCCACTGAATATATTCTGGACAACAAATATATATTGGACAACAAACTTTTCAAAGATTTTGCTTCCTGAAAAACTTTTGGTGATTATGATAGACTCTTTCAAACACAAATATAATCTCACAATGATGTAGGAATAGAAATAGGAAATAGGAGAAATGGGAAATTAACTTTTACGGATTATAATGTATTTAATTGCATAATGTTTCTGACATGCTACATGAGTTCAACAGAGCTAAAAGTGATTTTCCTTTGCACTCAGTGTCCAATGCATCTCACTGCAATGTCTAACAATAGTCAGCAGCACTGATAGATTCCAGTTGCCCTGATACTGTTTTTCCACTATGTGAATGTCCTGTTGAAACCATTCCCATCTTCTTCTCTGTTATAGGCCCTGAAGTACCAGAAGACAGCTATCATGTCACACATAATTCTTCTGTTTGTTAGACTAGATGTATCTAGTTTCCTTAATGGTTTATTGTACGATTTAGCCTTCAGACCCCTTCAGACCCCTATTGTACGATTTAGCCTTCAGACCCCTTCAGACCCCTATTGTACGATTTAGCCTTCAGACCCCTTGACATCTTTGTTGCTCCTCTCTGTGACCATATTTCTATGGTCTCAGCATCATTTTTGTACCAGGCTAACCAGACTTGGATGTAGTATTTCAAGTGTGGCCTCACTAGTGCAATATAAACATTACTATTACTTCTTATGATCTTGATGCTATTCCTCTGTTGATACAGCCTATGTGTCGTGCCCACGCAACACAATCGACCAACGAAGCTCCGATGCTACGGAGGAGGTTGAAGGTGTTGGTCCAGGGATTCTGTGGTTCCGGAGCGCGTCGCCACGGCTGCACACGCTGGATGCCGATGTCGGCAGTGACCAATTAACAGCGATGATCCTGGAGTGTACACATGAAGGGTGTACAGACGGGGAGCCGTTTTACAGAACAAAATGTTGCAGAAATATTGTTGGTGACGGGATAGTGGTGTTCGTGGTATTGGTAGCGAATTACGTTATATATTGGTGATTGTAACATAGTAATTGATGGTAATGAGGGATTAATTGAGCTACGGATGTTAGCTCCGATGACGGTGATTGAATAATGAGGGGTAATAATGGGAACTATGCATAAATACAGTACCCTGTTAAACTCAGTTTAGAGCTGACTTTAGTTGTTTTGCTTGGCTATTTTCTTGGTGTCCTTGCAAGAAAAAGATTAAACCAACTTTCCAGAATTTGACAGACTCGGTTTTCCTTTATCAATGCAGTAGACCCACAGAGCAGTTGAGAGGAAAGTTTAAAAGCATTATTTTTGCAAGAGCCCATTTTACCACATCCCGATACCCATAAGAGTTTTATCGTACAAGACGATGCAAGCGATGTTGCTGTAGGAGCTGTCTTACTGCAACGTAACAATGAAGGACAATTACAGCCATGCGCCTATACATCCCGCAAGTTCACACCTATGGAAAGGAGGTGGGCTATTTGGGAGAAAGAGGCATTCACTGAAAAATGGGCACTCAGTACATGGCGACATTTACTATAGAATAGAACAGAATATCTTTATTGTCATTGCATTCTACAAATACAATGAAATTTGAAAACTACTCCAGCACAGTGTCCCAAACACCACATCACAATCACACTACAGAGTAATTAAAAATCAAAATAATTAAAATAATAATTAAAAACCTAGTCTAAAACCTATCTAAAACATATAGTAAGTTAGATAGTTTAAAAATGCCACTATATACATAGGGCTAAATCACATATGCATTGTTTGATTTAAGACAATTATTGCCTTGGAAAAGAAACTGTTTCTCAGTCTATTAGTCCTCATTTTAAGACACCCATAATGCCTCCCTGATGGTAACAGTTCAAAATATGAATGTGCAGGATGAGAATGGTCTGTGGAGATTTTTAGTGCTCTAGAGAGGAGTCTGGTCTTCGCAATCTCTTCCAAAGAAGAAAGAGAGCAACCGATGATTTTTTTGTGCTGTGTTTATAACTCTCATCTTCTTATCCACTGCAGAGCATCCAGCATACCACACCGTTACAAAGTATGCCAAAATGCTCTCAATGGTAGAATGGTAAAAAGTAACCAGCAACTTCTCACCCAGACCATTCTTTTTCAGCAGCCTCAGAAAGTGCAGGCGCTGTTGCGCCTTCTTTGCAGTGGCCATAGTGTGGACTGACCAAGTAAGGTTGTCAGAAATATGAGTTCCTAGAAATTTAAAACTATGAACTCTTTCCACACAGTCTCCATTGATACATAGTGGGAGAGGCTCTGCTTTGCATCTTCTGAAGTCTATAATCAATTCTTTGGTCTTTTTGATGTTCAGGGAGAGGTTATGACTCTTGTACCACAAGACCATTCTGAGAACCTCTGACCTATAGGCCATCTCGTCTTCTCCTGATATGAGTCCCACCAACGTGGTGTCATCTGCAAATTTTATTATAGAGTTAGTGGGACAAGAGGGAGTGCAGTTGTAGGTGTAGAGTGAATACAAAAGGGGGCTCAGCACACAACCCTGTGGAGAGCCAGTGCTGAGAGCAAGAGTGGAGGAAAAATAGCTGCCAATCCTAACAGTTTGGGGTCTGTTAGTAAGAAAGCCTTTTATCCAACAGCAGATGTGAGAGGAGAGGCCCATTTTTAGCAACTTCTTAATCAGTATATCTGGAATGATGGTATTAAAAGCTGAGCTGTAATCAATGAAAAGCATCCTTACATAGCTCCCACTATGCGCCAGATGTTTCAGTGCAATGTGGAGAGCCATGGCAATAGCATTCTCTGTGGATCTATTATTCCGACAGGCAAGCTGGTATGGGTCAAGGTTTGATGGGAGGCAATCCTGTATATATTTTAAGACAAGTCTTTCAAAGCACTTTATAATTATGGGTGTGAGAGCTACTGGTCTATAGTCACTTAAAGTATCAGGAAAGGGCTGTTGGGGAACTGGAATAATAATGGAAGTTTTGAGACAAGATGGAACAATGGCTTGTGTAAGAGAAAGGTTAAAAATATTTGTAAACACACCTGCGAGCTGGTCAGCACATGTTTGAGTACCTTCCCAGGTATTCCATCAGGGCCAGCAGTCTTTTTCACATTCACTGCTCTAAGCACCTGCTTCACATCATACTCTTGTACTGTGAACAGTTGAGTACTGGTGGTTTGTAGAGGCAGTGTTTTCAAAGACCTATACAGTTCGAATCGGGCAAAGAAGCAGTTCAATTCTTCTGCCAGTGATGCGTCCTTGTTGATTGATATGGGGTTGCTGCCCCTGTAATTAGTGATGTGTTTAATTCCCTGCCAAGCCCGTCGTGGATCATTATTTGTGAAGTAGTCCTCAATCTTCCTTTTATAGTCCTTTTTTGCCTCCCTGATGCCCCGCCTCAGTTCCGCTCTTGCCTTGTTATACCAAACCCTGTCCTCAGACCTGAATGCCATATCACGTGTCTTGAGAAGTAATTGCACATCCTTGTTCATCCAGGGCTTCTGGTTTGGAAAAATCCGGATGCACTTATTCACAGTAACTGTATCCACACAGGTAGAGAAGTAAAACAGTACAGTTTTTATATATTCCTCCAAATCCTCTTGTTCAAATAAATTCCAATTACTATTTGAGAAACAATCCTGCAGCTGATCAAGTGCTCCCTCCTACTAGATCTTGGTGAGTTTGATTTCAGGCTTAGTTTTCCTTCTGAGGGGGGTGTATGCTGGTATAAAGAACAGTGATAAATGATCTGAAAGTCCCAGATGTGGAAGGGACACTGCTTTATATGCATGCTTTATATTAGAATACACATGATCAAGTGTGATGTTTCCCCTGGTGGCACGTCACATACTGAGTAAATTCGGGAAATACAGTTGTTAGGGATAACATTGTTTACCCTAACTGGTTTGGGTAAAAATAATAAATATGGTATCATGGTTTGTTAGTTAAAGTGTGTGTAAGAGGCTCTCAATAGAACAGCACAAGAATACAGGAATCAGGCAAATAAGAAGAGATGAGACAATAAACCATTCAAAGTTGGCGATTACATTTACCTATTAACAAAATATATAAAGTTACAACTAAACAGTAGAAAACTGGGACCAAAATATATTGGACCATTCACAATCACTAAAGTGATTAACCCCATCACTGTACAGTTGAAGTTACCAGCACGATTAGGGCAAATCCATCTGTATTCCACGCTAATTTATTGAAGTATGTGCAACACTACAGTGTACCCCAGGTCGAGGAACCTGTCACACTTGGGGAATCCACCCATGCTGAGATTGATAAAATCCTTGATTCATGAATCCGCAGGAATGTTCTTCAATATCTAGTAAGGTGGAAAGGGTATCCTGAAACAGAGGCATGCTAGGTGAAAGTATCAGACATGTGTACAAACAGACTATTAAGGTGTTTTCATTCCAGGTACCCAAATAAGCCTAGACCCCAGTAGTACTGACATATTGATATAACTTGTTACTGTTTTGTAGGCCAGGTCCTGGTAGAGGGGGCCGCCTGTCGCGCCCACGCAACACAATTGACCAACGAAGCTCCGATGCTATGGAGGAGGCTGAAGGTGTTGGTCCAGGGATTCTGTGGTTCCGGAGCGCGTCGTCACGGCTGCACACGCTGGATGATGATGTGGGCGGCGACCAATTAACAGCAATGATCCTGGAGCATACACACGAAGGGTGTACAGATGGGGAGCCATTTTATGGAACAAAATGTTGCAGAAATGTTGTTGGTGACGGGATAGTGGTATTAATGGTATTGGTGGCGGATTACATTATATATTGGTTATTGTAACATAGTAATTGATGGTAATGAGGGATTAATTGAGCTACGGATGTTAGCTCCGATGACAGTGATTGAATAATGAGGGGTAATAATGGGAACTATGCATAAATACAGTACCCTGTTAAACTCAGTTTAGAGCTGACTTTAGTTGTTTTGCTTGGCTGTTTTCTTGGTGTCCTTGCAAGAAAAAGATTAAACCAACTTTCCAGAATTTGAAAGACTCGGTTTTCCTTTATCGATGCAGTAGACCCACAGAGCAGTTGAGACTATGCCTGTATTGGCTTTTTTGGCAACTGCAGCACGCTGCTGGCATACCTGAGGGTTGGCCCACAAGGATGCCTAGATCCCTTTCACACTTACTGCTGTTGAGCCAACCTACTCTATACATGTTCATTTGGTTTTTCCTGGCTAAGTGCAGGACCTTGCTTTTCTCACTACTAGAGTATATCTTCCGAAGGGCCCAAGATCCTTCTGAATCTTGAGTTTATCTTCCAAAGTGATAGCAGTTTTCTCCAGCTTGGTGTCATCTGAAAATTTGATGAGTTCCCCTTTTATTCTCTCATCTAGATAATTTGTAAAAAATGTTGAAGAGTACAGAGCCAGAGACAAAATCTTGAGGTAACCCACAGCATGCTTCCCTCCATGTAAATGCAGTTCCCTTGAGGACTACATGGTGAGTGCAGTTGGTCAGCCAATCGCAAATACATCTGGTGGTGGTACTGTCTATCCCATATTGTTCAATCTTGCCAAGATGTAGGCTATAGCCTACTTTTTCAAATGTCTTACTGAAGTCTAAATAATATATGTCCACAGCATTTCCCTGGTCCACTAATTCAGTCACTTTATCAAAAAAGGAAATAGTTTGTCTACCATGATCTGATTTTGACTAACTCATGTTGGTTTCTAGTAATTGCTTTGTTTACTTCTAGCCACTCATAAATCCACCGATGGTCTTTTCCAGGATTTTTTCATGTATTAATGTCAGGCTGGTTAGTCTATAGCTTCTTGGATCTACTGTTTTCCCCGTTTGGAAAATTGCAGCTACATCAGCTCTTTTTCAGCACTCTGATAGTTCCCCTGTGCTCCAGAGCTCTGAAATATTTTGTTCAATGTTTCCAAGATTGTATCTGTCAGCTCCTTCAGAAATGTGGTATATAAACCATATGGTCCTGGCGATTTGAACTCATCTAGAGTGATACATGTTTTCTTACCATTTTCTTGCCTAGTTTGACTTGAATTCCCATTCTGTCCCCATTTGTTGCTTTCTATAGATTGCGCTATTTTTTCCCTTTTCCATGAAGACAGTTGCAAAAAAGGAATTAAGCAGTTCCGCTTTCTCCCTGTTGCCTTCTTGCTATCATTTCTCATTAGTGCCTCAATCATTTCCTTGACTTTCTTCTTATTCCTTAGATATTGAAAGAAACCTTTTGGGGTATTTTTTATATTTGTTACAAGTCTTGTAGATTTGGGCTATTTGCTGGAATTCTGTTCTAGTTATGTGTCCTTCCTTCCATTTTTTATATTTGTCCTTTTTGTCCCTCAGTTTGTCAAGAGAATTCTTTCTGCACCATGATGGTTTTATCTAGGATCTCTTGTTTATCTTTGTGGAAAGCAAAACACAAAATGTAGTCACCAAACCGGTTGAATCCCACCCCTGCCCTTGATGTAGATATTCCAGTTGTACTTGGTGTACTGGATGCGCTTCAATAACAGTTCATGTTTTTGTATGCATGCCATGAGCACAGCATAGTGAACAGGCCCTGAATGACATAAATTGGGTAACAAGATAGCCTTGAGGCTTAACACTGATGAATCAATAAAGAGATACCACTGTAGTGGATCATCCTTGCAATCCAAAGTTGGGGACAAACTGTCAATGTCAGTATAGAAAATGAGGCTGTCAACCTGTGCTAAAAAATTAGTTAAATAATCTTGGTGGCTTTAAAAGACAGAAATTTTCTTACCTGTTAGTATCAAACACCATCCTTGCAGTCTTGAACTCAGTAGTTCTGCTTTTGATTTTGACAAACCTAAGTCCCTGATCAGGTCCTTTAATTCTGACTGTGTTATGAGATGCCGCTCACCAGACATACAGAGTTCAAAATCTGGATCAAAATCTGGCTGGTGCACTGCAACATCTTTATTTGTTTCATCTAAGTTCCATTTCTCTGGTGGCTTCAGTACTGAAAGATTGTTGTCGTGTGACACTGGTCTCATGGCTGAAGGCAGATTGGGATATTTAATTGATTTCATAATTTAGCAGAAAAACCAGCAACATTAGTCAGGCAGAAGCAGCTGTCACAGGATCATTCTGTTCTCACCATATGATTGGAACAGCAAACAGCACTGATTGCTGAGTTCCCCTGACCCAAGTTCTAAAATCAACAGCACATTTTGCACCACAAATGTGAGGAACACAGGCTTTATCATGGTCACCAATCTTACAACCAAAGTAGAGTTCTTATGCTTTCTTAACAAGCCTAGTCAGGGTGCGTCTTTGAGGCTTTTAGGGGGAATGTATCGTAGCTGTTCCGACATTGGTGCGATATTTCTGCTGTCACCAATCATCTTCTAACAAGTTTATAACTGGTTTACTTGTTATGTAAATTACATGTGCAATGCCTTGAAACGATTACATCAAAATTCATGGAAACAGATACCAACAAAATGAACAGCATCCGTCATGCGAGCTACTTTCCAGGCAGCGTCCAGCCAGCCTAGCATGCCTAGGCAGGTGCAGCAGCCAGCCAGCCTAGCATATCTATACCAGTTTCACAAAAATTTATGCAGTATGTCCTGAGTGCATGCCTGGACATGCATGAGCTACACAAAGCATCTTATAACGCAAGCGAACATTAGTAAACTTAAAATATATATACGAAATCACAAAAACAGAAGTTTTCTATAAAATGGTACATGACAGATTACGTTTAAGCAGCCAAAAGTCTATAAGATACACCCAAAAGACTTCAGAAAGCAAAATTTTGTTGTCCAGTGATACTAGTACAATTTCTACAGTATCTAAAGCTTAGATACACCCCCCAAACCATGTCTCCACACTACTCAGTGTTATCATTGTTCTTGCCTTGCCTTTAGAAGTTGTGGGTGCTCCATCACTGGAGGCTTTTAAAAAGAGACTGGACAGTCATTTATCTGAAATGGTATAGGGTCTTCTGCTTGAGCAGGTGGTTGGACTAGAAGATCCCTTCCAACTCTGTTATTCCATTAGTGTTGCAAAAAGTTGTTTAAAAATCAAATACACATAAGAGTCTTTAAATATTTGAAGTAAACCACTTAGATTAAAGATATCCTTTACAGATATCCTTATAATTGAGTTGAGTTAGAAGTGAAAATTCAATGGCAACAAATCTTTAGTGCCTTGTAAATTTTAGACCACAAAGGGTAGCAGGAGATTATGGATTTATTTACTGTCCTTTCTTCACCTGTCTTGCCTTTTGTCTACGAGATTGCAAATCTGAGGCCATCTCCTTCCACTTTTGTTTCCAGATGACCCAAGAGGCGGCAGAATCTGACCATGTCAGTCAAGGGAACAAGCCAGAGGCCAAGAGGGGGGATCAGATGACCAGGAGGCAGCAGAGTCTGACCATGCCAGGCACAGAGGTGAGCCAGTGAGCCATCCCCACCATGTTGAAGCACCCTCTGTCACAGATTTCAAACATTAGGCTTTAATATTATGGACGGCGAAGATGATGGCAGAGTCACAGTGCTGTAACTGCATGGTTATTGCCAAGACCTCTGATTTCTCTAACCAATCTTTATCTTCAAAACCAACACAGTCCACATACAATCTATTCAAAGCAGTTAAAAAGAAGCATTTGCTATGAAAATGTGCCTGAATTGTATCAACAGCTGCAGAAATCCAAGGAAACCAGCCAAGCCATGTTAGTGTTTGGGATTCTGAAAGAAGCAGTTACAATGACATTAAGAGGAAAAGATCAATTATTATAGTCTGGAGAAAAGCGGATGTATTTCTCCAGAATCAATGCGCTCCATCAAAGGGGTAGAAAATTACCATCGAATGATCCTTCTGCACCAGGTGGACCAGGACTGCCTTTGGTTCCTCTCTCTCCCTCGGGGCCTGGGATGCCATCCAATCCCCGGTCACCAGGTACACCTGGAAAAACCCCAATTAGTTATAGTTTAAACCTCAGCTACATAAGGATAACTCCAGGTTATCTCACATTAATATATTTTAACACTTTCCCCCCCCCAAAAAACTGCTAAGCCACATAAGCAATATTCAAAAGCTATAAAAGCAGCACCTTTTATAAGTGTGGGATGTTGTGCGTGACCTGGTGGCCCTCGGATTCCTTTATCTCCAGGGTCTCCCTATAGAAATATACATTTAGTTAAGCCAATTTAGTACATACTTGAAAATCAACTAATTTCATTATGAATGAGAAAATAAGGCATGAAGAACTTCGCCACAGACCCAGTAATTTCTGTAAGGCTGCATTTTATTCTTATCAGTTACTGTAATATTTCTTCATTTTTTATTCTTCAATCATAGGCTAAAATATCCCCACAGTAAGCGATTGCTACTTATATTACAATAGTACCATGATACGTTGTTTTACCAGTTTTTTTATTGTCACCCATCATCACAATGACAACTGTTCCCAACTCATTTTTGGCAGAATGGTTCAATAGCATGGCAATTTCGCCAATTCATTCTTGCTTGGCCACTTCAACATTACCCAGACTTCATTATTAGACTTGCTTATAAGTAGAGAGACACCAGCTACAATTGGTCATTGTTTAAGTCATGCCATGTCCTTTCCTTAATAATAAATATGTAAGTTTTGCAGGCAAGGCCATAAAGGAGGAAATAGAAACCATGATCAAATTAAGCAAAAATGCTTGAACAAAGACTCAAGATGGCAGTGAGGAAAAAAAGGGCATACATAATATTAAGCAAATAATATTTTATTTATTAATCTTATTGGCTACCCATCTTGCCACCGGGTAACTCCTACACCAGATATTCTATCATATTCATGTTTATATTTAATGAGCCTTCATACCTAACACACTTATACAGGATTTTTTCAGACTTGCTTCCAGGATGGACAACCAGACATTTGGCATTTTGCCATGTCTGATGCTGTTCAATTGATCTGACCTTGAAAGATAACACTTAATTGAAGGCCACTATTGTCAGTAAGGGCAGAGAAAAGTAGCAGAGATGTGGATAATCCTTTCCTGTGTGAGGACAATGGCTGGCATATTACAAGGAAGGAAACATGGAGTGGGACAACCATCCAAGGGGAAATTATAAAAGGCAAGCTTAGATTTTGTGAAAATGATGCTTGGGCTGATATTAAAAACAAATAAACTTCAACTTGAAATGGATCAGTCTGTATAAATAATGTATTTCAGTCAGCAAGGTTTCTGTTCATGGAAACCAAATAATTGTGTTGCTTTGTATATTTCTTGTAACCCGCCTACAATGATTTGCAGTTATTTGATGGTTTAACATATAATGTTGAACAACTGAATAATTAATTACCTTCATCCCTTTCTGGCCAGGATTGCCCTGGAATCCATAATTTCCTGGGGTACCCTGAAACGAAGGTCAAAAAGAATAGCAAGATTTCTTTTAACTGAACTCCACATGGCTGCTTCAGTTTCTTATTCTGCATTACAGCAGTGAGAGTGCTTAGAGCCAAAACGGAGTAGGGCCAGATAGGTGGACTTGGTGAGATGAGGACATAGTTAGTCCAGGGAAATATACTACCCCTATCCCTACTTTAAAATAACTGATGAAATTGGAAAGTAAGCTCAACATTTTATCAAACTTCATTCTTTTGTTGGGTGAGGCCTACTATTTTTTTTTAAAAAAAACCTCCAATCTCAATCTACTATGTGAATTTGTTAGCTGCTTTTGTTGGGTTTTTTTTGAACATGCCTCCTCTGATACTAATCTTTTTACTGATCTTATCTGCTGCTCATTTAGGGCTGGTCTTCCTTTTTTCCATCAGTTCTCTTGCTTTGTAAGAGGCACTTCTCAGTGCAGGGTTGCTATAAGGAAGAAGAAGTGATTTTCCTTTTAAAATGTCCTTAAATTGTCTTTCTTTCTCAAAAGCAACCTGATTCTGGGACTTCATACTTACCACATCCCCTTCAGCTCCTTTTAGGCCATTGATTCCTGGCAAACCCTATAAACATTAACAAACAGGACCATGTTATTAAGTATTTATTATCAATTCCTTTAAAAAAGGAACATGATGAAAGAATTAAACTTAATAGACTTATGGAGAAAACTAAACCCAGAAGAGAAACAATTCACATATTATTCAAATCTACACAAAATCTGGACCAGAATAGATATGGCCTGGATGGATGGGGAATTGGCCAATGAAATAAAAGAAATTAAAATCCTACCAAATGAATGGGCTGACCACAACCCAATACAATTAATTTGGAGAGATAGGAGAAAAACAAAGAAGAGATGGACACTAAATACTCAGTTAATAAACGAAGAAGAGTACATTAAGAAGCTGAAAGAGGAATTAAATTATTTTCTAAAAGAAAATAATAATGAAGCAACCACGAAACAAAATATTTGGGATACAATGAAGGCAATTATAAGAGGAACAACAATCTCTTATAATGCCATGAGAAATAAAAGAATACATGCCCAACAAAATAAATTCCAACAACAAATTAAAGAATTAGAAATACAACTACAAAAATCCCCTAAAAACCAGAGAACACAAAATCAGTTAATAACAATTAAACATAAATTGAACTTACTTGAACAAGATAAAATAGAAATTAACTTGAAAAGGTCCAAACAAAATTATTTTGAGCATGCAAATAAACCAGGAAGATGGCTATCCCATAAACTTAAAAAAGTGAAAGAAAAGAGATTGATACACCAACTAATGGATGAGAAAGACGTCTTACAACATGAGACAGAGAAGAAAAAAGATATCATTTACAACTATTTTCAAAGATTATATAAAAAGGAGGAAGTTAATGAAGATAAAATAAGAACTTATTTAGAGGAGACGAATGACAACGTAATTGGAGAGGAATGGATAGAGTTATTGAATAAAGATATTACATGGTCTGAATTGAAGTCAGCAACGGAGAATCAAAGTAATAACAAATCTCCAGGACCAGATGGGATTCTGGCAGAACTATATAAAGCAATATTGGAACTAGTAGGACCACTGATGCTGGAAGTGTTTAATGAGGTACTTCTGGCACCCAAGATGCCGGACTCGTGGAGGGGGGCGCTGATTTCGCTAATCCCGAAGGAGGATGCAGATCATAGATACATCAACAACTATAGACCGATTTCACTTTTAAATGCCGATTATAAATTATTTACTTCTATCATAGCTAATAGAGTAAAACAAGCTTTAAATCCATATATCCACAAAAATCAAAATGGATTTCTTCCGTCCCGACAAATAAAGAACAACTTAAGAACCGTTATCGATGTCCTAGAATATTATGAAGCCCACCCGGAGAAACAATCCACACTCATGTTTTTAGATGCTGAGAAAGCATTTGACAACTTAAATTGGCACTTTTTAATTCAAAAAATTTACAATATGAGTCTTGGCACCAAATTTGAAAACATTATAACAACAATTTACAACACACAACAGGCTAATATACTAATCAATGGTGAACAAACAGGTCCAATAAATATAGAAAAAGGTGTCAGACAGGGCTGCCCTCTCTCACCTCTTCTTTTCATTTTTGCCCTAGAATCACTCTTAACACAGGTTAGACAAAATTCTGAAATTAGAGGAGTGAGGGTCAAATCAGAAGAATATAAACTACAAGCGTTTGCTGACGATATGGTTTTCTTTTTGGAGGAACCCATGGAAAAAGGATATAATCTAATAAAAGAATTAGAACGATTTGGCGCAGTGGCAGAATTAAAAATTAATAGAAAAAAGACGAAATTAATGACCAAAAATTTAACAGAAAACCAGAAGGAAGAATTAGAAGCAATGATGGGGATACAGGTAACAAAAAGGGTCAAATATTTAGGAATATGGTTAACACCACAAGGTAAATCACTCAAAGAGAACAATTACGATAAACTACTTCAACAAACAAAGAAAGATTTAGAATCCTGGAATAAGCTGCAGCTCTCCTTATTGGGCAGGATTGCCTCGATTAAAATGAACATATTACCAAAATTTCTTTATTTATTCCAGACAATCCCAATTAAGTTGCCAAAAATTTTTTTTGAAGAATTAAATAAGATCACACTTAAATTTATTTGGCAGGAGAAAAAACCCAGGATCAATGTAAAGGCCTTACAAGATGCGAAAAGTAGAGGGGGTCTAGCCCTTCCAAATTGGGAATTATATTATTTGGCAGCTATCCTATTATGGTTAAAAGACTGGGTGAACTTACTTAATAAAATAATTTTAGCATTAGAAGGGCATGACCTCCAGAGAGAGTGGCATGCCTTCTTATGGGAAGTGGGGAAACCCAAGCAGTCTTACTTTCATAGACACCTCATTAGGGACTCATTATTAATTAATTGGAAAAAAAATATGCAAAAAACACTATCTAAAAATTCCGATCTGGCTATCAACAATGGAGGCAATGGTACATCCCAATAATTTGGACATAACAAAAATGATTAAATATAAAGATCTATTAGATCCGCAAGGAAAATTAAAAACTCGACAAGAGTTACAGGAACAGGGATTTAAAATTGATCAGTGGTTATATATACAAATCCATAGCAGATACAAACAAGATATAAAAGACTTTGGAATTTATAACAAACTGCAGTATTTAGATAAAATTTTACTAGGATCAAACAAAAAGAACATATCCAAATTCTATAAATACTTACTGGAAGTAGAATTAGAACAAGAGATAGTCAAAGGGAACATGATAGCCTGGAGCAGGAATGTCGGAAGAAGTATTACATTATCAGAATGGGAAAAGATTTGGAACAGAAATATTAAGATTACAAAATCGGCAGCATATAAAGAAAATACATACAAAATGTTTTATAAATGGCACTTGCCCCCTTCGAGGTTGGCGAAAATGAACCCAAACACGAGTCCAAAATGCTGGAAATGTAAAAGCATAGAAGGAACCTACTTTCATATGTGGTGGTCTTGCAAAGAAACCCAGAAATATTGGCAAAAAATCAGAAAATGGTTGGAGGAGATAACCAAAGAACAAATCGAATACAAACGAGAGTTCTTCCTACTAGGGATCTCCGATAAACATTTACCCAAAAAGATGAAATATGTAACAATTCATATCCTAACTGCGGCCAGATTAGCGTTCACCCAGTGTTGGAAATCACCCTATACACCTACAGAACAAATGGTCATCCAGAAAATATGTGATTGTGCAGAAATGGATAAATTAACTATAGCACTTAAAAACAAAGAGCCTTCAACATTTTACGATAATTGGAACTCTTGGTATAATTGGTTAGTCCAGAGATAAACTGCTTAATGGACAATGGGTAATTTAAGCATAGATATCGATAAGATGTATGTATTCAAATTAAGGTAGGAGAATTGGATCTTGCAGACTGTCAAAAAGGATATTGTCTGTTTTTAAACGCATCCTTTTCTTTTTCTTTTCTCTTTCTCTTTCTTTGTTTCTTTCTTTCTTTTACATCTCTTCTTCTCTTCTCTTTCCGGTTCGTAAGACCGAGTGTTCTTTTTTTGTTTTTTTCCCTTTTGTGTATGCAATGTCGATGTGTTTTTAATTGTAAATTTAATAAAATTTATTTAAAAATAAAATAAAAAAGATTTTATTGAAATTAAACTTTATGAAGAATAAGATTTAAAATGCCCAATTTCATATACAATATGAAGAATGAAATGAAACTTTCCCATACTTCTTGGCTATCATCTAGTTACATGTAAACAGACTAAACTCACCAAAAATTTGGGGCGTATGGTCCAATATGGTCCATCACTATCAGGTAAAAATATTGGAAATTCAGTGGGTGCTTTGACAGAATTTTTGTACATACATTCTATGAACATTTATGCCCACACCTATACAGTACTAGAGATTCAATTTTATTCAATTGTGAGTTAAGCTAAATTATCCCAACTAGGTTTTAAAAGAAAAGAACATTAAATAGGAATGATATCTGCTTATTTTATCCTAACATACATTATGGGGGATACTAGGATATATTTCAAATATCTATGAACTCCAAAAGTTAAAAGTATATCAGCCCGATATTTTTGATGACCATGACAATAAAACAAGGAGACTGAAATGACTGTTGCCTTAGCTTTGAATATGAATTGATCACTTCACCTTTTACTGCCAAACATCTGATACTGACTATAGATTTTACATCCACAAATAAATAAACAAAACCAGAAGACACAATGGCAAATCATTCTATGGTTGCCAAGAAAACCTCAGAGATATTTCCATTTAGTCACAAAGAGTCCAAGAAAGACTATCTTGATTCTTCAGACCACTGTCTGCTCAACTTTCCAGTGTCTAGCTCCCTCACTTTTAACTACCAGAAATTTAAACACTCACATCTTGGTTAAAGCAGCTGAATATTGTTTCACATGATGAAGATTACTATGTGCCTCCAACAAAAGCCTGGGCTACAAATGCTTCCTTTACACAAGAAATTAAGTGGCTTGAATGAGATGCTTAGTACTAGAAAAGGAGAAATGGTCAAAGCTCCCTATCACTTGAAGATATTCCTTTCTGATTATAAATATGATTCTCAGAACAGACTCTCAAACATGTGCAAAACAACAAGAAAATCCAGGTAAGAGTAGGTAAGTAGTCCTTACTTAGTGCTTGACTCAGACTACAACCCCTGTAGCTATGATGGTGCTGAAAAAACAATTTTGTGACCAATGCTCAGATGTCCTCTCTCCCTCCCTCCCTCCCTCCCTCTCTCATCATGTGTTTGCCACTACCATCAGTTAGTAGGCACCGTCCAATATAAAATTATAACTACAGACATAGTGTCTGTTTCACTTAACAACCAAGTTGCCAGTCCCAATTGTGGTAGTTAGAAAAGAACCACCTGTACCAGAAACACCACTGAAAACTGTTTCATTTTCTTAGTATAGAAGGAAATAATATATGAATATAATTAATGCTTGGTTTAGTTATATATTTACTCTTTGTCCTGGAAAGCCAGTTATTCCTTCTTCTCCCTTTTCTGCTTCTTGTGTAGGAAAACCCTGTGGGGAAAATATTTGCACAATTGTAAGCATAATAATATGTAATTTAGCATACAATACTAACACTTCATGGAGAGGATCATTATTATAATACAGAGGGTACAGCCATGAACTAGTAGTAATAGTCTCTGCAGGACAACAATAAATATCTCTAAGCATGTCCCATAGGTGTTTTTTTTTTTCCAAAAGGCAATTGAACTTTCTTGTTTTTTTTTCCCTTTGAAAACATTTAGCTTCTCATCTAAGAACCTTCTGCAGTTCTAACTCTTTAAGCATGTGTTTTCCCATTCACATGCATCTATAGTGCAAGGTATCATCAAGTGGTAGCTTATAGACAACCTCAGAAGCTAAGAAGGAACAGCCCAGATTATTATTTGACAAGGAACCACCTAAGGGCTTTTGAAAAATACTCATAAGAAGTTAATGGCAAATGCTTCTGTAACATCAACCAATCAATCAGAATACTTCCCCCAACCTACACATGCTCCCCCTTGTAGCGGCAAGAAAAAGACACAGCAGTTTACTTGATCTCCAGTAGGTGGTGCTTTAACAGCCTGGACAGATATTTTCAGAGATAATCATTCAATTCCAGTTTTAATTGCAGGAAAAGGAACAGAAGACAACTAAGGAGGAAGAAGAAAAATAGTACAGAGGGGAAGGGAGGCTTCTACACAAAACCAGCACCTCTTTTTTGAACAAATAAGTCAAGAAATGGGAGGGGGGTTATTTACTATTCAAAAAAAAATGGACAAAAATGCAATATTTTGTTGTTTAAGAGAGGGAGCACCAGTACCATAGCCACGTCTCCTAAAGAAAAATGATGCCTCCTGGTTTCTTTGGGAAGAAAGTTGGAGGAGAAGGGATGGGAAGGGTGGGGAGAATGTGGAAGAAAGAGAAAGAGAGAGAGGAGAGGGAAAGGGATGGGAAAGGCAAGAGAGGAAGCAAAACAAGGGAGGGGAAGATTGTGAAGAACAAGTAGAAAATAAAATAGTCAAGGGAAGCTGAACTCAAGGCCTATCAGGCTGCAAGTAGACCAGAGGAACCAATGTGTCCATCTTGGCATAATTATGGAGAGATAAAAGAAACACAAGCACCGTTCTCTTCTCTCCCACACTTTATGGTGTATATACAAACAACTGCTTGGAATATATGTGTTTGTCCTTTATAATTACTAAGAAATGCAAATCAGAAGAATTTACAGTAAGGTCAACCTTTCTGTATATTTAGTACAATAATTCCTCAGAAAATGAACACATTTTATTTTTATTTCTGAGAAGCAACTCAGTAAGAATTCTTTAGCTTCTTTGATGCACTCTTCTGTGGTTAATAAAATTAAATACAGTAATAACAGGAAGCACAGTATATTATCAGTAATTCTCTGCCAGCCCCCATTCTTCTATAATTTGTATTTGCTTGTCATTTCTGTTATTATTAAATTATTATTATTAAATTAAATTATCAAATCAAATCAAAATAATTTTTATAAAGCGACTATTTTTAAAATATTATTTTAAATTATACATTTAAATAAAATTATTTTATTTTAAAAGATAATTATTATTAAATGTGAAATATTAAAATAAAATAAAAAAGGAATTTTAAAATAATTTAAAATAAAAAATAGGATTATTTATAAAAAAAGGTTAATAATAAAGTGTCTTGATTTTTCATATAACAGTTGGTGTTCCAAGATTGAAGAGTTTTTTTCTTCCCCTTTAATCCATCTTTTCTCAAAGACAGCTGACATGATTTTATCTATCAGGTAGTTTGATCCGATGTGTGCCATGGCCAAGGGTAGAACTGAATCTTGATCTCCCCAGTCCTTACCTAATACCTTACTTGTGGCAGAAAAAACCCACAATTAAAGCTTTCCCCCACCTGAGTGGAAACTAAAATTGGGACAATTAAGAGAATTGATAGTCTAATTACGAAAAAGTATCACATTTGACTCAATCAGCAAAAAGGAACTATTGAATGAAAATAGATTCTGTCCATTTGGTTGCTGAGAGAGAGAAAGGTTTCATTGATTAAATGCCATGATGGTGCAGAGAAGATGAGACACTTCTAATTATTATCAGCATTCACCAACAATTATAATGTAATGGAAGATGCCATGGCTCTGAAGAGAGTAACAGAACCCATGCTTGCTTAGAAACCGTTTTTAATTTTGTTTCATAATTAAATAAATTGATGCTACAATATGTCATTATTTTTAAAAAATCACCACAAATAGATGTAAAATAGTTTGAGTGTACAATACAGAAATTGTTAGATTGCAATAAGTTGACAGTGATGTCATTTCACTGCTCCATGAAACTTTTCAATTTCAATGTTACAGCTAAAATACTACATTATCATATTATCAACCAAGCACCACTATTATTGAAATAACAATGAATCAAGATATTACTTTTTCTATGAAAACAGTGTTTCTCATCACAGAAATAACTTACTGGAAATCCAGGTTCTCCTATCATTCCTTTGTTTCCTTTCATTCCCTAATAATATAAAACAACAATAATATTAAATAAGTATGTATTCTTATTCTCTGCTAAATTTATATCAGCTAGAACACTTCCATTTCAGTTATCTATATGATAATTTTTAGTGATAAATCAAAATTAATCAGAAGGGCTGAAAAAAAGAAACTTGAGGGAATAGCAGTCTTAGTTTGAATTCTATTTCCTCTAATATAGAATCCAGTTCATAAACTAACACAATACTTTATTTGCAAATATAATCCCTTGTGAGTCAAAATTTACTTCCCATACATTTTACTTTCTATACATGTTATGACAGAAGACTCACACCCTAAAAGGTAATGACATCATTCAAAATGTTCCTTTGAAACCATCAGAGTGTGTCACCTGTATGGCATAGGGAACTGTTTCATCCAATGATATAAAATCATTCTAAGGGGCAGTTTGCACAGGAGAACTTTTCCAAAAGGTAAATTGCCCTGTAAAGTAAGGCCACCACTTGAATAACAGAAAGGCTTAAGTGTGAATAAATTATTCATTTTATATTAAATAACATTTTTTCCTAAATTTACATTAAATTTAGAACCCTAATTTAAATTAAATTTAGGAAAAAAAGTTCATATTTTTTTTGCCCCATAGAGAGGGTTGATTTAAATATTCCCTTGACATTTAAATCAACTTTAGTCTTGAGTAGAGTGACCTTTCCTAGAAAAATTAATATGGTGGCCTATGATTGGTAGGAGTTAACACTGCATAGTTTGTTAAAGTGCTGGACGTTGCTTTTTTTGTTTGTTTTTTTTATTTTTGTAGCTAGCATGAGATTTAAGTGAAAATGCAGTCCTAACTCAGAGACATCAGGGAGTCTAGGAAGAGTCTGGTTGGCTGATCCTAGATATTTACTGACACAAATTTGCAGGAAAAATAACCCAGTTGACAAAGGAATATGAGCAAGGGAACAGAAAATAGCTAAAAGAAAGTAGAATTGGGTTAGATTTGAAGCTCTACTAGATGAGGGATGTAACTTAACATCATTATGTTAGACTAGGCTGATGATAGTCCATGATGAAGCCTCAAAATGGCCTCAGTCAGGTCAGCTTTAGGGTTGACACCATGACTTATATCTTACTGTAAAATATTGGAATGGAACCCAATAAAGGCAGAGTTTGGCCCATTGTATCAAATATGGTTTGATAATTTAAGACAACTCCAATAGTTGCAATATCTGCAATGTTCTGTACAGACTTCTATGACTTCCTTTATTTTTGTATTTAAGTTTTCTGTAATTTCAGAAATGATTCACAGAAAAACATGGATCACCGACTCCGCAGATACTCATATTTATGTCCACATGGACTTAAGATGTTCTTGTGAATATGAAAGTGGGTACGGGTGGAAGACTCTCTTAAAGTTGCTATTGATCCGCAGAGAAAAAGAAAAGAAAATATTATTGGCACAACTTGTGAGGAGAGCAGCTTGTGGTAAAATAATGGCAAAAATGTGCATACAGAAAAGACTGCAGTAATACAATATAGCAAAAGAGAGACAAGACCTACAGTGGGGAAGGCTAGATAGAACACTTCTATTTTTCAAAGACATGAATACTCTGTAATTTTCAATAATAGTTCTAATTACCTTGTGTTCATTTAGAATTTCATCTATTGAACCAACGAATTCTCCTGTTGATGTACACCCAGGTGGACCAGGAGGTCCAATTTCACCCTTCAGAAAAGCCACAAAGATAAGTTTAATAGGTAAAATGAACATTTAAACAACATGGAATGTACATTCTTTGAACTCAATGAAAGTGAAGAACATTTGATTCTCAACCTGAAGAATCTGAAGACAATGTATGGATTGAAGAACATAGGGATTTTTGAAAGACTGCATTTCTCATACAGTAATCTGACCTCAAAAACAATTTGCATAGATTGCACAAAGTTATGTCCATCACAGTAAATGCAAATTGATTAAATTCATTTTACCTTTTCACCCTTCTTTCCATAAAAGCCAAGACCTCTATTGCCCTGAAATGACAGTTAATGAACATTTAACTTATGTTTACACACTTAACCAAATGACATGTGCGAAACTACATGTCCCTCTGTAATATCAGAACTTTAATACTGTTTTACATTAAATAAAATAATTATCTTGGACACTTAGGTTAATTATATACTTAAGCCATATTCTTGAATTTTGATGTGTCCCATAATATATGTTAAATTCCTACTCAAAAAAATATTGAATGAAATATACAATGTGTGGTTATCAATAATGCTAATTATAATACTTTAACACCATCAAACAAGAACATCTGACTATCCCAAGTGCTTGGGAAGGTTTTGATATATAGATAAAAATGTCAAATCCTGTTTAAACAACTGGCTGTGTGACCAACCATAATGCTGTCAATTTGATTTCTTCTTATAAATTTGAAGATCCTATGTAGGCTACAAATACCAATTTGTGCTCCTATGGGTAGGATTTCAGCCAAATGAATAGTTTGTAGTTAATAAAGTCCGTGAAAAAATGCATAACTGCCTCAGTTTCTATAACTATAGGACCAATGCAATTTGATGACAGGAATGAATGGGAATAATTAACTTTCTTCATTTACACTTCTGCCTCTTTATCTGAGTCAGATCCAGAGATTCTATTTTCAGAGGAAAAGTTAATGCAATATTTAGTGCTGTATGAACCAGCATAAAACTGGGGGGGGAGGGGGAGAGAAATGCCCAAAACTGATTTCATTTAAATATTTATTCCACTGTGTCCCAACATTTTACAGTATTGCAATATCTCATGTTCCCCTTTCAAACAGCAACAACAACAAAAGGATATTTCAGACATTTTGAATCACCTCAGAAAACATCAGAGTCTACCAATCTAAGGTGAGTCCTCAAATACTTACAATGGGCCCTGGAGGTCCTGGGGGTCCTGGAAGTCCCTAAAAGCAATGTTGAGAAACAGAGTAATCTCTTAGAAGTGTTCAATTCATGTAAATACGTGGAAAAACACCAGTTACTTCACACACCGTGTACTAAGTCTTCTTAAAATACGTACATTAAAAAAGAGCATCCTAAATAAAAATAATATTTAATTTTTAGTAATTTATTTTTTATTAAATTATAAGCTTGTTAAACTTTATTTAAATAGCAGGAAATCAGGAAAATTTAAAAATTTCTGATAATCCACATTTCATATACATCATATACCCTCTTGGTTACTTGGGAAGGTTTGACCATTCCTCACAACACTGAAATAATGAAAACCCTCAAACCTTCAAACTGATGCTCCACTGCAATACTCCATTAGGTAGATGATGCTGTTCTACTGGCCCAGACCCAGTTTGGCTTAAATGGTACAAGACTACACAGTCTCCCTTACAGTGGGAGTCATGATTTAACTGAGTTTTAATCGTTCCTGTTGCAGGGAGATGTTATTATGAATATGCTACTGTTAGTTTTGACATAGGATTCAGTTGTGGTTAGAGGAGATGATAGGACAGAAGATAGATTGCAAACAGGAATTATTTTTACTTGGAATTATGACAGAGAGATATAGTAAAGAGGAGACCTATTTAATAGTACATATTATCGCAGCAGTAAGACTGACAATTGCTCAAAAATGGAAAGATAGAGAAATTCCCGATGAAGGTGAGGTGATAAAGAAGATATGTGCTGAAATGGATAGACTGACTCTGGAAATAAAAAATAAGGATGAGACAGAATATTACAAGACATGGAATAAATTTTACCAATGATGGGAACAGAAAGGAAGGACCCAGAATAAAAAATAAGCAGGATTTGTAGAACGGGTAATCAAGATTATGTAACTAAATACAACTGAATATGAAGGATAACATAAGTACAGATGTATAAATGTATAAATGTATACAAGATATGTATTATACTGTATATTATAATATATATGACAAAAAGGAATGTCAGGACAATCACACCATGTCCAATGTTTTAATAATTCAATCAATAAAATATGTTTTAAAAATATGCCACTGTTAATGAAACAGATGAATTTTTATGGTTAAGTGCTGATTATTTATATTGCTTTAATTCTGCTTAGAGATAAGGAGTATTTAAGATGCTCAGAATTAGCTGTGATTGGAGCAGCATATAAACCTAGTAAAAGAACACCACCACCACCATTCTCTCATTTTCAATTGTAGTGAGAAGCTGCAGAGTTCAATAATGGCAACATCAAGATCCTCACTTTTGCTAGATGTCAAACTTGTCACCTGAACAAGTTAATAACTTTTAAGTATTTGGATGTCAATTTTCAGTTCCCTAGCAGATAGTTTGCATCTCTGTATTATATACTGTAGATATTTTATTTTTTATTTATTTGATTTGCCAATTGTTTACAAGATAATAAGTATAAGTGTATACATAGTTGTGAATACATGAAATGAGTACATATAAGAAAAATAAAAGAAGAATAAGAGAAACAATAGGACAGGGACGGTAGGCACGTTGGTGCGCTTATGCACGCCCCCTACAGACCTCTTAGGAAAGGGGTGAGGTCAATAGTAGACAGTCTAAGGTTAAAGTTTTTGGGGTTTGGGGAAGAAACTACAGAGTCGGGTAGAGTATTCCAGACATTGACCACTCTATTGCTGAAGTCATATTTCCTGCAATCAAGTTTGGTGCGGTTAACATTGAGTTTGTATCTATTGTGTGCTCTTGTGTTGTTATGGTTGAAGCTGAAGTATTCATTGACAGGTAGGACATTGCAATGTATGATTTTATATACCATGCTTAAATCAGACCAAAGATGGCGTAATTCAAGGTTTCATAGAAATTCAAGATAGCATAGAAATTGGATATCATAATTGCTAGGCCAATTTTTTTTATCTCTGCAATCATTATAAATAATTGCATCTGAGGGAGATGGCTGGTTGAGAAGTGTGAAATTAGATAGATAGATAGATAGATAGATAGATAGATAGATAGACAGACAGACAGACAGACAGACAGACAGACAGAGGTAGATAGATATAGATACAGATAAATAGATAGATAAACAAACAAATAAAAAATTAACGAACTAGTCTTAGTAAAAGCCTCCACACATTTTGGGTTGTAAGGGGATATGATTAACAATATTTGCCTACCTGTTAACACTAGTTCCATTAGCATTAAATGGAAAAGAGAGCAAATGCTGCATTATTACAATTTATTTCAAGAAATTCTATCATAGATGAGTTTTGATCAGACTAAGTTAGCACAAGATAATGGGTTAAGGACTTGCATTTACCGTCCACATGAAGCCATGTTAGAAACTTATCTTTAGCACATCAGGCCTGTTAAATATTAAATCATGTTATAGTATCAGTACTTAGAAAAGTTTACCATCAGCACATTTCAATATGATATCAGATCAGTACTGGAAGAACAATTTAAGAAATATAGCTAGCTTGCCCACACTAGCTAGAGGCATTATATAAGTCAGTCTTATAGTGTGCTTTTAACAAGGATAACAGCATGTTTTATGAATTTTCTTTCGTTCAAGTTCCTAAGCCACACAGGTTTATTTTACTTTCATTAATTATTATCCAATCAGAATAAGACAATATTGTATTTTTCAATGTTGTGTAATTTTGTTCCATTGAGTATAGAGCATGTGAAGAATTTATTACTGTTTCTTAATTCTCAATTCTATTGCTTTATTATTGTTCTGCCTTATTGCTGAGTTTTGTTTTTATTGTTTTACTATTTGTTTTATTGAAATTTTCTAGTTGTTGGCCATAATAAAGAATGTCAAACCACTGTCATAATCTCAGAATTTTATAATACTTACAGGAAGACCTGAGTCTCCTTCCAGACCAGGTTCACCCAACAGTCCAGGAGCACCTTGAGGTCCCTATAAAAGATATTTTTTTCAAAATAATAATCATGCTTTATTTTATTTTACAGATAGCTAATTTTCTTATAGAAATTTATCTATCCCAATGTTACTTACCATGAAGCCAACCACGCCTGAGTCACCAGGGTCTCCCTAGAGAAAAACAATTTATAATGTGAAATGTTGTTTTAGTAAACTTGAACATAAATTTTTGTATACTACTAAAACTCTCATTCCTATAACCTTTGAGCAAAATGGTGCATCATAGGGCAACAAATTTTGAACCAAGATACTGCATCTCAAATGAATAGAATAGAATAGAATACTTTATTGGCCAAGTGTGATTGGACACACAAGGAATTTGTCTTGGTGTAAATACTCGCAGTATACATAAAAGATACATTCGTTAAGAATCAAGAATCATAACGTACAACACTTAATGATAGTCATAGGGTACAATAAGCAATCAAATCATACTAGGAAACAGTCAATATAAATCATAAGGATACAAGCAACAAAGTTACAGTCATACAATCACAAGTGGGAGGGGATGGGTGATAAGGAGTGATGGAAAGGTTAATAGTAGTGTAGACTTTGTAATAGTTGAACAGTGTTGAGGGAATTATTTGTTTAGCAGAGTGATGGCTTTCAGGAAAAAACTGTACTTGTGTCTAGTTGTTCTGGTGTGCAGTGCTCTATAGCGTCGTTTTGAGGGAAGGAGTTGAAACAGTATATGTCCAGGATGTGAGGTGTCTGTAAATATTTTCACAGCCCTCTTTTTGACTTGTGCAGTATACAGGTCCTCGATTGAAGGCAGGTGGGGAGTAATTGTTTTTTCTGCAGTCCTGAAGTGTGTGTCTGTCCCATAGGGTTGCAGAACCAAACCAGATGGTTACAGAGATGCAGATGATAGACTCAATAATTGCTCTGCAGAACTGTATCAGAATTTAAATTTGGCAAATTTTATAAAACATTTTATGACATAACATGAAATGTCACGAAACATTTCCTTTTCTGATGTTTGACTGTGCTACACAGTTCAACATGGGCTATTTTCAAGGCAGATACGTCTCTGAATGTATCCCAACTTTTCCAATGAATATAGTACATTAAATGCTCTGTCATTGTTGAAGGAATTATGGAATCTGAAAAGGAATTATTTCTGAAACTCTCAGATTTCCACAAATAGCAGATTTTGTAAATTTCTTACAAAAACCTTTATGATTATTTCTAAAATCTGAAAGTTAAAAGTGAATAAAAAAATCAAGTTCTGTAACCACCATCAGGCTTCTGTATAGTGTTTGTCTGTGAGTCAGACTTTCCCAGCCTTTTCTGTTTTAAATTTGGTGCTAGCCTACTGCTGTGCCGTCCATTAACTCGGAGCCAAGCTGCACTAAAAGCCTCCATTACAGGAAACACAATGTTGCCAGCCAATCAAGACAAAAAAAGCTACAAAACAGACAGAAGATATTAGAAACACCAATCTAGCAGAACACAGCAAACTCCAAGACCAATAAACCAGACCAAGACTCCCAACCAATCAGGAAGAAAAAAAAACCATTCTGGCACAGCAGTAGGCTAGCACCAATTTTAAAACAGAACCGGCTGTGAAAATCTGACTCACAGACGAATACTATACAGAAGCCTGATGATGGCAGATGAGATTTTGCCGAAACGTTGCTACAACTTTAAAAGCACAACTATAATGACGTGGGAAAATACCCGAACAAAGCTGAATATCATACATACATACATACATACATACATACATACATACATACATATATATATATATACACACACACACACACACACACACACACACACACATACACTAATGGAAGAATCATGTCGGGTTCACTTTGGTTTGGCTCAGCAACTTCAAAGAGCATACAGACATGCTTCTATTTAAACTAAAAGATTGGCTGTGTTTTATAAATGAAAGCCCCAATGTGGCTGCTTCATTTAAGATTGCCAAAGAATAAATCTAAGGAAAAATATTATAGCAAAATTTAGTCTAGCCTCTGCAAGTCTGTATTTGATAAAGCATAAAAGAAGCTGAAAGAATTAGGAAAACTATAGTTTTTTCACTTATATGGAAATATCTGAGGCACTTATTTGAAAATGATGAGGAAAACATACTTTCCCAACAGATTATAACTATTCACAGAGACTTACCCTGAACTGTATAGCTAATTCTTCAGGCAGTGCAAAAGGCTCCCCCTTCTGACCTTTGGGTCCCTGGATTCCCTAAAATGATTGAAAATAAAATTTTTCAGCCATTTGTCCAGAATTGCCTGAGGATTTTCCTGCAGTAGACCGGCTGTTGGACTAAAAGACCTCCAAATTCCCTTCCACCATACAATTCTTTTTCTTGAGGATTCTACAGGATCATCTCAAATGCTGGGTACATGTAGAATTCTTTCTATTATTTTGGAGGTTGGGGATCATTAAGACAACTTTAAGCTTCACATCATAATTTATATGCAATTCCTGAAAATGTGAATGGCCGTTAGCAACTGAAATTATTCCAAGGGTTAATTATGAAAAAAATAAAGAGAGTACAAAAGAGAGGCTGAGAGACCATGTGTGGTGTTGGTACTGCAGATTGCTCTCCGCTTATTCTAAACCATCCAAATGAGAAGAGAGAGAAAAACTGGGCCATGTAGAGTCCATTTCCAAACTGAAAAGCCTGCAGTAAATTAGGGATTGGCAAGATTAGTTCTAGGATCAAATGATCAAGCCCCTCTTTTGTGGCTTCCAGATTATGTCCCTTTGAAAATAATGACTGAAAAACAGGAAAACATTTTCCCACCATTATGAGATCAGATATAGTCTTGCTGTAGTTGTGTCCTCTGCCACACCACAATAATTACACCACAGCTAGGATGTGTCACTTACAGGGCACTTCACAGACTTAGTCAGCAATTCCACGGCTCTCATTGTGGGTTCCCTCTCACCTTATGGACCCAATTGGTCATATTCCTAATGTCCTTGCAATTGAAGCACACCTAGGCAGGCATATCCAGGAGTCCAGAGGTAGGGTCTTACAACCTGTACTAGTTAACTAACTAACCAACACAACTAACACATATTTGTATCAGTTTTTCTTTTCAGAATCATTTGTCTTCTTCATGTCCACTGACAGTAGCAATGTTTATATTTTATGCAATTCATGTTCAAGAGGTTTGCTATATATAGTTGATACAATTTCTTCACATTTATTTCATACCATTTACTTTTCTCCTTAGAATATTGCAAGTTTTTGTCTGTTTTCAGAAAATAAGCAATATTAAAAAACAATCCAGAGCTTAATTGCTAAAGCTTCAAAAAGTCTCTTGATAATTGCTGCCTGCTTGAAACTTCAATTTGACCAGAAAATCAGAAAACCATTGTTCACTAAAATCTTTTAGAATTGATTTTGCTAGCTTTTTCTTTTCTTGAAACATCAGGACAACAGATGGAAATTTATTATTATTAGTGCATAGACTTTGTTATCAGTTTAGACTATAAGACTGGTTATTTGAAAAGGTACAAATTGGACTGTGAAAGACTATGCAATTGCTGCTGTTTTCACCATTTCTTATTTTTATTTTTTGGGTGGTGGTGGTAGTGATGCTGATATTACTGATTTGCAGTATTTCTTCATCAGTTGATATCTCAGAGACATAGCCCTGGATGTTAGGATGTTCAGTTTGACTGACATATAATTTTATTTATTTTTAATAACATCATGGGTATTTTATTTTAAATGTTTAATTAGAACAAATATACAAAGATCTGGAGACTGCAACATTTTTACTTTTGATAAGTAAGTAAATTGTATAATAGCTATAAAAATCTTTTTCTCTTGTTATCATCTACTACTTCTCTATTGCCAAAGCCAGACTGCAGACCTATTTTACCTAATCTGAAAAACTTCTCCATGATTTTATTTCTAAACAGAAACTACGTGGATATATATGTGTATCTGGCCTAGTTGGTATCCATCTCTTGTAACATGGTTCTTTGTCTCGCTTTGTCTATATGACAACATGGCACTTCGGGATTTTTAGATCCTGAGAAAGCATATCATGTAGGGAAGCACAAAATCCTACTGTCCCTCTAACTGTAAGTCCTACAATGTGCTTGAACCCTTGTAAGTGCTTGAAGAGCCCAAGCTGTCCCACAACTCAAGATGCATGATGATGCGTCTGTGTCTGATTGCCTTCAGCAAATCTCACCATGGGAGCCCACGTAGATAGGAACTAATGTTTGCGGAATATTTCAAGCCTTTCTGCTGTGGAAATAAGATTGCCATCTGGACTAATCCCCCTGGTATTCTGACCCCTGGTAAAGTATATCATTCTACATCTTGGGTTCCAGACATACAGAAGTTGTAATGTAACCTTCATGCAGCTGAAAAAGAAATAAACAAAAGAACATCCTAAACTATCTCCCTCATTATAAAGAAACTCAGAATAAAAAAAGATAGATCCTCAGCACTCTATCAATCACAGTTCCTCCAATGACTCATTGCTATGTATCTAAACATTAGTTATCATTGATTAACAAATTAAAATATTTGTTTACACAGTCAAACTCTTTCCCTCATTTGAAATTAAAATGGGCTATCTTCATAGAATAAGCAAACAATTCCTCAAATGTCATCTAATTTTGTCTAAAAGTAACAAAGCTATTTCTATGAATTAGGAATTTAGATGATCCCTGATCCAACTCCACTTCTATTTCTTTGAATAGCAGGGTTCATTTTTGTGGTGTTTTTTGCCAAAAAGTACCCTCAACAAGATACTTTGATTTCTCAGATACTGCTCACCAAACAGAGGAAAATTAATTATTTCTTCACTTTAAAATATGCTATGTATCCCTATGAAACTGAGCAAGTTCATTCAGCACAGAAAGGACAAGTATATTTGCAACTTTATTAATGTGTCTCAAAAGAACAAAGAAGGAAATTTCCCCCTCCTTTAAAAAAAAAGAACCTGTAAATTATTATGGATTTTCCCCTCCAAAAATTATCATTATAATCAATCATGGTCCTCAACTAATGTATTAATATTGTGAGCACATAGGATGACTGAACTCCAAAATTTTCCAAAATGACTACTAGTCAACCTGGAATTTCCTTCTGATAATTATGTTTCAGCTCTAGGCAATGCACCATTTGTAGCACTTCAGCATATAATCCTAATGTGGTAGATTCACAAGAATGGAAACCCTTTTCTCTCATTTAGTAGACGGGAACAATCTACTCTTGATTTTGCTGCTAGCTTTAAGTCGACATATTCAGTGTTCATAACTTACAAAAAACCCAGGAGTCCCGGCAGGTCCCTGAATTCCCTGTGGACCTGGATCTCCCTTGGTCCCATTGCAACCATCATGGCCTGGTTTTCCTCTTGATCCTCCCTGACCTGGATGACCCTGTGGAAACAAAATAAATACAGTTATGACCTGCTGTTTTTGCTTTCTTCTTCTTGGTTTTCTTGGAATTCTTAAAAGTTCTTACATTCGTGCAAGCAAGTGGTCTATAGGAAAAATGGAGTAAAAAAAGTATTATTTAATTCTATTCTATTAAGAATACTATTCTATAGTTCAAACCATATGTCTTTGAGAATATGAAAAGAAAGTAGAAACAAACTAGGATATCAGCAGAAACAGAAATGTATAGATAACAAGTAGGGAAGAATAGCATATTTTTAATATCTTTGCATTCCTTGCGTTCAAATAGTTAAGATAACTAAAATCCAATTTAAATATGGCATTAAGTGAATAAGAAGACCGTCCTGAGGCTGCATTCTATATGTAATATTTTAGAAGTTATTGCATTCTGTATATGTATGACCTGCCCTGACAAATGTGTATAGGTGAATAGGTTTAGTAACTATAATAAAAAGGAGGTCTTTTTCCAGGAAATACAGTACATAGTTTAGCAGCAAGCAAATTATTTTTACCAAGACAAAAATCAAAGAGCACGGGCTTACCCAGGTGTGCTTGGATCAAAAGCAGAAGAAAGTGACCTGAAGTTAGCAACATTTTGAATCAAGAGTGAACGATAAAGAGGAGTAAATCCTTAATTCTCCATCAAGAACCCATTTCTCCCCATCAGTTGCAAGGGTCTAAGAAATCAGTGCCACTGATTTATCCAGCCAGCCAGCATTCTATATATCTTATCAATTAAATTGCAATTCTATGAACTGCAGACTAGGAACTGCAACAGAGTATAAATGGTGCTTCATTCATTAGGTATTGAAACTCCATTGGAACCACAGAATGACTGTGTTGTACTGTGTGGGGAAATATCTTTTTATGCTAAAAAAAAATGCATTGAGAATTTGTCCAGTTCTACATCTCTAAAGATTATTGTAAATGCCACTCTTACCATTAGAGGAATGGGAGGTTTTTTTTTTTTGTAATTATTAAAAATATTTTTCAACATAGTTTTAGAATATTGGAGAGGAATTTTAAAAAGTGTGTTGACAAGTATCTATGAGTAAATGAATGTCATTAAAATGTGTGTGAATACTATTGATATGTCTTTTCCTATCCTAATTCTATGGTGGAAAATGGTTTCCATAAGTATCCTATAAGTTGTTCATGAAAATAAATCACTCTAGTATACCATCACTTCTCATGCAAATTTTGTTGTATTTTAAGTCTGTGTGTTAGAACTGAGGAAGAAAAGCAGTCACTAATCAATTTCTTCAATTCTTCTTCTTTCCTAAGGAAAACAAATGGCTGAAATTTTATTCATAGCTGATTTATACTTTTGTTATTCCCATTGTTATTAATATCAAATTGTATAAGAGAAAATGAGAAATAGTTACAGAAGGTAGGAGTTATTATTGGATTCCCCTCCCCCCCCCAAGGATTTAGCTTACTACCAAATCTAAATATTCCTGGGAGTGACATTGGAAAAGGGTAAGTTTTTATTTTTTTAGCTTGCTGACTCATTCTTGGAGCAGACAAATGTACAAATTCAATGTTACCCAAAATAAAATAATATTCAGATCACATGCTCAGGACAATGGTTTCCAGAAGGAGAAATCATCAAGACGAGGAAGACAGATTAGTGAAGGAAGAGAATCATTCTTGAATCCAGAAGCTCTGGAATAGCTCAAAATGGAATTTTTCAGACTGCAAAAAGTGTTACGTCAAAAACTAATTCCAAATGTCCCTGGCTGGATGTTGCATGCCAGCCATTTTGAGGTAGTAGAAATAGACAACCCCACTATGCCTTCTATTTGTTTCCTAAAGACACTTACCTTAAATACACAGCAGCTATTTAGCATTTTAGAGGAATATATATCAAGGAAATAATATTATATCTCTACATTGACGAGCATATATGCTCCAAGTAATCTCCAAGAAGGGCCAAACAAGGCAATAATAAATGGTGGTGAGTGTTCTTGCTCCTTTGTGCTTATCTAAGCTATGTGAAAATATAGAAATATAGAAAATTATATTTAGCTTATCATACATGATAAATAAATCCTCCATTGTCCTTCATACTTGAAAATTACTCCTGGCTAGTTTTCCAGATCATGTGAATATTAAATTTGTGTGATCACTGCCCTTAAAATCACATGGCTTGCTTTTTCCTTTTCTCTGTCTTCAGGATATATTCTGCATCATCCGCAGGTGGCTTATCCTTGTGTGACCTTATATTACCTTTCATTTGCTGCCTGAAGGCAAGTCCCATGAAAGTTAATGCAACATCCATATGTGGAAAAAGAAAAGCATTTTCTAGCTTTAGCTCTGCACTGCAAAACACATTAGAAGAGTGGGTGAATGAGTCAAGCAGCTGAAAATAGCCATTTGGAATTTCATTTTACTGATGCATGTGGGTGGTAAAAAAATGTTCTGATGTCAAAGGGCATGGAAGAGGAAGCTGGTATTGGGAAATCTGTCTGGGGATTTCTGTGAAAGTGTCTAGGAATAAATGTACTTTGCTTATTATTTTATGCAAGGCAGCAGTTAGAAACTCTGTTAGCCGAAGAATGCTTCTCTCTGCATTTCTCATGGCTCTCATGTCCAGAATTTGGCAAAGGGTGATGTAATAGATGTTTAAAATTTACACCAGATTGTTTTCTGTTTAAATGCTTTTCAAGGGGATATTGCTATACCCCAACATTGTGGACAATTTTCTAGGGAACGTTGTAGAGAAGGTGCATTACAACTTCAAAGGACTCTGGAAGAATAGATAATTTTTCAGTCAGGGTTCAGATCTGGGTATAGAACTGAGATGGATTGATAGCACTCTGGTATGACCTCTGGTGGGAGAGGGGTGGGGTGCTGAGTCTCTCTTGTTTTTCTTGACTTCTCAGCAGCTTTTGACACCATCAATCACAGTATGCTTCTGCACCAACTTCAGAAGTCTAGGGGTAGTGTAGTGCTGCTTCTCCTTCTTCTTCAAGGTTGGTTCCAGGACAAAGAGATCCAGCCTGTGGCTCTCTTCCTTTGTGAAATACCTCAGGGCTTGGAGCTCTCTCCCCTCCTATCTAACATCTACATGAAGCATGAAGCTGCTGGTTGAGTTTGGAGTGAGATATCATCAGTGATACTCAGCTTTATATCTACACACCAGGCTGTCTGATTGATGCTGTGGAAGTTCTGTCTCAGTGGCTACAAGCTATGGAGGCCTGGATTGGGCGCATCAGGTTTCAGCTTACTTCAAGCAAGACCAGGTGGCTCTGGAGTTTTGAACCTCCTGGTTCTGGGGAACCTTCCCTCTTTCGTTTGGGATGGGATGGCACTGCCCTAGATAGATCCAGTGCATAATCTTGGAGTCCTCCTGGATTCATGGCTTCTTCTTAAAGAGCAAGTAGAAGCCATGGCTCAGTTGCACTTGTTCTGGGATCATATTTTGTATTATTTGTTTTATTTTAAGCTGCTTAGAGTCACATAAAAGTGAGGCAAGTGCTAAATAAATCTACTAAAGAAATGCTTAAAAATAGATTTCTCTTCAGCATGCAAAACATTAATCTTTAATCTCTGCTCTCTATTTTGACTATGTCTGAGATCTAAGATCCAATCCACCAAGATCATGGGACAGTGTATCATGAAAATTCATTAGCATCACCTATGTATAAACAGCTAAAAAAACATTTATTTCATCCACTGTTTAAATAACTTTTTAAAAACATGATTATGGTTTGTTTTTAATGCTGATTTTGTATTTTATACTAGTCTTGAGTTTGGCTGGAGAAAAAATGAGCTGTTTATTTTATCATATGCATTATTTGGTTATTTATAACTTGAATTATTTACAGGAAAGACTATCATAATAGTTTCACATTTCAATACAAGGAACAAACATTTACTTACAGGAATTCCATCTGCACCGGGAAACCCTGTGACTCCTCTTTGTCCCTATAATGAAAAGAGACACATGATGATGTAGTCACCTACTTTTTGCATTTGTTCTTCACAGTGAAATTGACTTCTTAGAAGTTATAAAATTACCGCTTCTCCTTTGGGTCCAGTAATGCCAGGTCTACCTCGTTCACCTTTGTCCCCTTTGTGCCCTGAAAGTCCCGGTATGCCCATCACTCCCGATGGTCCAGGGGGTCCTTGTTGCCCAAGCAATCCTGGCTGGCCCTGTAAACAACAATCCACAAAAGTTTTCAGGTACTGCTGAAAATAGACAAGGTGTATCTGCACAATAATGAGTACTTCTGCCTTTGCAGTTTATAAAAACTGCAGGATCACAAAACTTAAACCAAGTTTAATGTGAGTTTAATGCTAATGCCCAGTCAGAAATCTGCACAGTGTTTCATTAGGGAGCAGTTTTTCCACATTTCCTATTGATCATTAAAATATAAAGATGATGAAAGTATTGGCCAAAAGTAGCTTCTCCTGTCAGCAGATGCCAAGGGATTCCCAGGGTAAGATACCATCAATAGAATCAATCAAAATATGATACTTATCCAGAACCAGGCAGAAGACTGTGGATGTTCTAAGCCAACATCTTTTAGACTCTTGAACGAAGAAGTGCATGAAACATGACACTGAATCCCAGGAAGACAGAATAGTTATTCATTCAGAAAGCATGAGTTTCTGGTGGCCCCTTTGCTCTAATTCTGGGCAGGGTTGCTTTTACCTTGAAATGTATGGTCAACAACTTGATCCTCCTCCTAGATTCATGTCTCTACCACAGGTGGAGAATATGATGGGGGAAGGGGATTTGACCAGATTCAGCTTTTGAGAAAAGGTGGGTTTAGTGATAGCTGCTCATAGCTCTTTCTACTTTGAAGATGGACTACCTAATATGATCTGTTTATATTTATTCCATTGAAGGCTGCTTCAATTCCATTGAAGGCTACTTGAAATTCAATGATCCTAGGTAAGAACTGTTTTAGAAGCATTATATCAACAATGTAAGCAAGGGATGCCCTGGTTTCCTGCTTGTTTCCAAGTACATTTCAAATTGCTAGTTATTACTTATAAAGATTTACACAACTTAAGTTCAGGTTATCAAGGTTAGGGACCATCTGCTTCCTAAAGAATATATATCATTTTGTTCAGTCCACTTGTAACAGGGCACTTGGTTTTATCTCCTCAGCAAAATAAAATGGCTTGGATTGGAAGTAAGCCTTTTCCACAACTGTCATCTCCATGTGGAATAGGCTGCCTCCTCCCTCAATTCCTACATTTTTGTAGAGAAACAAAATACTGGCTATTTAAGAGAGCATTTGGGACTTGAGAGATGTGATTTGTTCTAACTATTACAGTTAATTACATTTTAAGTGTTGTTTCTGTTTTTCTGATGATTGTACTGTATTATTATTGTTATATAAAGAGCATTATTGTTGTTGCTGTTAATTTATGAGTTTTCTTACTTGGATATTAGCAGCCTGGAGTCTTTAGAGCTGTAAAAGTTAGTTGGGTAAATAATAAAGAATCACTAATAATAAACTCTGTCTGAAACAAATGCTCATACAAAAAAGAAGGCTTACATTACAATGGTGCAATTCCATTGTCAGACTTCGAAGCCATATTTTACTTAGAAGCATTGAGGCTGCCATATTTTAGTGCCTGGGAATTTGGGAGGGGGGATTTCATAGAGAGGAGGAAGTTTAGACTCAACAACATTCTTCTCAAAAGTCAAGGACAAGTTTCCCTGCACCTGGAGAAGAGGGTCTGGAGGAATGTCTCCAGTTGGAATGATGGTTGATTGGACAATGTGATGAACTGGTGGGTGCAGGGGATGGGATATGATTTTCAATTGGGAAGGGAAAACCTGGCAGTCTCAGATTTGGATTTTCCCAGATGTGCCAAAAGGACTTCTTCAATAAATTCTTACTTGGATGAACTTTGTTTCTGAGTGCTAAATGAAATGGGGAGTCATTGGAACGCTGACAGCTGTTTTTTTATAAGCCAGGGGAAATGGCCCTGCAATTTTGCAAATGGAAAGCTTCCTACAGTAAGGGGAAGCCTGAAGAAAACTCCCACAACCCCTCTCTGCTTCTCCAGGTGCATTCAGTATGGCTACATAACTAGACAAATAAAAATAATTATGAAATGGTAACAAAGAGACATGAAAATAGTAAATCTTTACTGCCTTCTAGTGATTATCTGGATTTTTGCAGATCAGATATAATACCCTATTTTTACTCAGGCACCAACACTGAAATAAAGGTTAATATCTTGGTTTGTCTAAACGGGAAAATCTTAATAAGCAGTTGTAAAACTATCAGTGAACCAGAGGGTGTAATTTCTATTGATACAAGGTACAAAATTTCCCAGAGCACATTCCTGATTTCATGGCTGCCTTTGCTTCATCACAGCCGTGCAATGAAAATCTCTCCCAGTTCAAAGAAGATTGTCAGAACTGATTTTGCAAACATTATGGTTGTAGAAGGAATGTTGTTGGTTTCACACACTGCAATTAGTCATATTACAGTACATTTTGCTTTATTTGGCTTAGCAACCTGTGGGAACCCACCACTGTGCTCTCTAAACCATGGCTTATAGGATGTGAACCAGGATGCAAAAACTTATTCAAGTGTCCCTGGATACTTGGCACAATGTGCGAAACTAGTACTTGTGTTTGCCATCACTAGCATATTTAATTTGTTGGAAGCCAGCTCCAAATCCCTATTCAGCCAGGAAATCCTGAATAAGGATTTTAGCCAAAACATGTTGGGCTTCATGTCAAAACACCAATTTTATAGCATACAGTTCTTCAATTTGTAATCATTTTTAATTTTTCAAATAGACCTTTAGATGTCACTAGCTGCCTTCTTAACATTATGTATAGAGCTGCACTTTTAGGAAATTGGGACCTTAAATAACTCAAGTCCCATAATGGTTGGAAGGTTAACAGAGAAATTACGAAGGTGAAGCATTATTTTTACTTGCGCAAAATCCACCAAAGGAAATGCCAATGGACAGCAGTCTGTTTACTGGCACCTTCTGTGGTGGCTACTAAACTATCCCTGATTCCTTTATTTTATTTTATTTTATAAGTGGGAATTTGGTATGTATGGCCACTTTTTTTAGAAAATAAAAGACGGGTAATTGCTTTTTTGTGCCCAGCTGATAAACTAAAAAAACATCACCACCCACCCTGGAAAGCCAGAAAGAGTGGTAAGTGATAATCATCTTGGTGACCTTGGGCCAGACACTCTCTCTCAGATCGACCCACCACACAGGGCTGTTGCTGTGGATAAAATAGAAGGAGGAAGATGTTTGGATATGTTCACCCCCTTCAATTATTTGTAAAAATAATAAAATTCAGGATACAAACAAACAAATAGCCTATCAATAGTTGTGGTGGATGATTAGATAAAAGACCCCTGTGAAATTTCATGAGAATTAAAAATTATTATGAAAACAGATTAGGATAGTTCTTATAATCTAAAAATACTAAAAGTATTTTTGTTATTGGTCCTATTAGCCACATGAGGACTATGGATTACATTTTGTGACAACATTACAATTACTTGCAAATTTGAAATATGTTCATCTACTGATAAGGCCTTTTCTATTTGTTTCCTGTACTCTATACAAGAAGATTGTATTTATAATGGCTAGCAAACAGATTCACATTCTACAAAAATGAAATGCAACCATTTCCTCTACCACAGGGTTGTCAAACTTGACTTCATTGAGGACTGCATCAGGGTTGTGTTTGATCTCTGGGGTGGGGGCAGGGGGGGCATGGCTGGGGTGGACTTGGCTAGCTCGACATCACTCGTGTCGGAGGCACCTGTGGTGGCCAAGTGCTAAGGCAGGATTTACCTCAGACCCTCCCTCCCTCTCATTATAATCTCCTTCCTCCCTCCCTCCCTCCCTTCCTTCCTTCCTTCCTCCTTCCTTTCTTTCCTTTCCTTCTTTTTCCTTCCCTCTTCATTCTCCTTTCTTCTTCCTTCCCCTCTTTCCTTATTTTTTCTTCCTTGCTCTCTTTGCATCTTTTCTTTTTATTTGACTGTCCTCTTTCCCTTTCTCCTTTCCTGTCTCTTCTTGAATACTCAAATGCAAAAGGGGAAACATTTCTCCTTTTGTTTTGCTTTTAGTCTGTTTTGCTAGCCCTCTGCCAGTGAAAACGGAGCTCGGCCACGAATGGCCTCCTGCAGCCCTCTGCCAATGAAAATGGAGCTTGAGGGGG